GATGCAATGTGTAAGGGGGAGTTATTCTGAGATTATGAGTTTGGCTCTTAAAAGTTTTGGTTGCAATGATTGAGGGGGAGCTTATACTTATTTTTGTTTCTTTCCATCCATTGGTTTGTCATCATCAAAAAGAGGGAGATTGTTGATCTTGATCCCTATCTTTTGATGTTTACAAAACAAATAGATGTTACTAATGTCTCTTAAAAGATCTATTCAGTTATGAAGCAAATATGTTCCAAAGATCAAGTACAATTGAAAGATGACAAAATATGCTGAAGCTGTCGGACGCTCAAGAAATCAGGATCGGACGTCCGATAATCATTGCACAACTTCAGACGCATGCTTCGGACGTCCGATAGGATCCTTCGAAGTCGACGAAACTATCGGACGCTGAATTTGTCTCTACCGGACGTCCGATAGAAACAAGATAATTTCTCAAATCTGTTTGTTTGCTGTCGGACGCACAAAGAGCTTGCACCGGACGTCCGAAAGAATTGAAGAAAATCTCTTAAACTCACTGTCTGCTGTCGGACGCATAAAACAGGGCTATCGGACGTCCGACACTCCAACGGCTAGTTGACTCTTCAGCTACTTTCTATCCGTTGGAAGCTTTAATGAAGCTCTTTCTTGGTCCTATATAAATAGTGATTGGTCAGATACTTAAAATAACTTTTGCACACTGAAGATACAAAAGATCTAGAGGGATTTTAGTGAGAAAATACTCATCAAAGAAGATTTGTAGTCTTAGTGGTGTGAGGTTCATTGTAAGCTTTTCATTTGTGAGTGAATCTTTCATGAGTGTAACTCTGTGAGGGTTGCCCTGAGGGATAGTAAAACGTCCTGGCTTGACCGAGTGGTGTTCGGGGCAAGGAGGAGGTGAACCTTCCTTTGTACGCAAGAGTGATTGTAATTCATCAATTTGAAGAAGTCTATTTGAATTAATCTACAAGCTCAAGAGGAGCTGTGTAGTTAATTGGTTTGCAACTCTTTCCCTTTTATTTATTTATTATTATATTGCGATCTTTTAATTGCTTATCGATTGGCTTTTCAATTGGTTGTCTTCGATCCTTACAACTACTCTCCGTCCACCATTCACACCCCCTACTGGGCCCAAAATCCTCAATAAACACTGGTGGTAATACTCAAGTATACTAATTAGTCGAGGAGATAACACTCCACTCAACAACACTAGATATCCATGGTTCGTTATCTAATCGACCAAACCCTTGTCGGCTCGACTCGATTAACTAGTCAGTGGGGTTTAGGTTCCCAAGAATTTGATGAGATGACATCTCCAATCGATTGAATCAAAATAAAAGTACGGAGACAGGAATGAGAGGCACCTTCCACTCGGATTGAGTGTGGTACATACTGCCGCTCCGCACTTACAATTCAAGTACAAGTATATCAAGTCAATTGTAACAATAAATAAGTATATATCATATTTGGGCAAGTGCGATAAAATACACTCTTGCCCGATTAAATAAATTTCATATCATTAACTCACATTGGTCAAGTATGGAAAATAAGTGTCCAGTTCAATCAGGTATTTGGAAGCACTCACCAAAGGTCTAGTGCTTCACAAAAGTCACGTTCAGGTCCAACTCCTTGGTTGGAGTCCAAATCTGCGATAAAGTATCATTTGCGAATGTAAAACTCTCTAGAGTTCGAAACATAGGAGTTTCGCTTCAATAAAATCAAGTAAATGCAATTCGCTTAACTAAATTCCGAAAAGGTCATGCTTGCTCGTAAAACTTTGAAACTTTGAATCAATTATACTGTGAAATACCATTTGAGTCGAAGAAATGGAGAAAACGTATTTCTATTAGTTGTAAATTTCATTTTTCCAAGAATACAAGTTTGGCCAAATTCTAACTTATATATCTTGGTAAAAGAGGACGCAAGGATTCTAGATGATTCAAGTGGTATTCGCTCTTAAACCTTACTCAAGTCGCAAGTATATCTACTTAGGTCTTGAGCGTAAATTTGGGCAGCACGCCCTTTGTATTTACCTATTTTTCAGCCATTTATAGCTTCATTCTTTTCCTCAATCAATCCCAAAGTCACACACAAAATCATCTCATTTTAATAGCCATTCCATAGACTCAAAGTCATACAAGTACAAAATCAAACTAGGAAAATGTCCGGAAATGAAGTTTGAATCAAGAAACAAAAGACAGATTTGACGTTGTTTTGCATAACGAACACAACCGAGGCTACGCTTATCGGATTGGGGTGTAATTTCTACCGTTTTGAAACTAAGGTAAAGGGCTACAACTTTGATGAAGACCACTCAATCCAGTTCGTAGTGTAACTAGGTCAAAATTTCAAATTACAGAACCAGAATCTCACACTCGGGTTAGTTAACCGCACTATATGTAAACGACAATAACTTAGGTTATCGAAGTCTGATTAAGGCGTTTTCAGGGGCGTTGGAAAGCTAAAACATAGCACTACAACTTATATGTTTTGGCCAAAGACTAATTCAGTACGGATCAAGGTGAACAGATGCAGTCAGATTGGTAAAAGGTCAACGCTGTCCACAGGGCTCTATTTATGGCAGTCAGGGGTAGTTTTATCTTTTCACAGGCTGCAGTGCTCGGATTGAGCTGAAAATTTGTAGGCAATTATAAAACATCATTCTCTACAACTTTCATGTTTTAGGCTAAGCCTAATTCGGTCTCTAACATGGTGAACTAGAACTAGGCAGAACAGGGTATACCTTAATTTCAATTCTGGAAATTTGCTACAATCAAGGTATAAGTCCCATTTCTAGATTAAAACCATCACTACCACCTCATTTACCAACTTATATACACCAAGTACCATTCAACCAATAAGAATTATAAGTGAATCAATCAAAACCCTAACTCAAAATTCATCACCCCAATCATCAAAATCACTTGAATAAGGCATCATAAGCAAAATTACAAGCTACTACACAACTCAAACATGATTAAGGGAAAAGGAAAGGTTAGTCAGCCATTATACCTCAAGACAAGAGCTTTCAAGAGTTATCCTTCACTTCCCTTTGCAAACTTTATCTCCCTAAACTTCCCAAACTCTCAAGTTGTAAGCTAATCGGTTTAGTTTCTTGTTTTCACTCAAACAAGGCTTGATTCAAGATGAAATTGAAGTTCCTTTCTCTTGTTTTTCTCTCTCTCTCTCTCTCGGCTGGTATGGTGCAAAATGAAGAGCATTTTGAGTAGTTTTTAGTGATAAAGATGGTAGAAATTAGTTGGTCAATCAAACCATGGATGACCGCCACTTGTCACAACCAATTTGCATCTCAATTTTTTTTCTTTTCTCTCCTTTTTGAGTCAATAATTTCGGCTGCCATAAGGGATATTTTGGGGCTGATATTAATCACTTAATAGCAAGGAGAGTAAGATAATAAAGTAGTGTTCAAGTGGTGCACTCACTCGGTAACAAACGGTACCCGTCGGTTCAACCCGTTTTTTCTTAAATCGCGTATATTAGGGTTTTAACTTATAATTCACTAACTTATTATTATCACCTCTATTCACACACTTAATATCATCTAAACTCACTCTTAATCACCAAATTTGATCCCCATTTTGTACCGGATAATCACACTACGGATAGGCATAAAAACCCTAATTCGCACTAACTTAAAAACCAAAGGAAAAACCCTTAATTCTATGTTCATTTACACTTATTGTGGGGTGATTGGGTAGTATGGCTATTAGAAAGTAAGAATTTCCAAATAAAAGGAATTTTAAGAAAAAGTGTGCGGGATTTTACAATTCCATTGATTACAATTAGGGTTTCGATTAAAAATGAAAGACTTAAGAAAACCGATTAATCACAAGTAAATTAGGGTTTTTTATTAGAATTTCAAGTGTCCAACAACAAAAAAATAATATTTTAAAACAAGACAAAAGAAATAAATCGAAATTTTAAAAGAACGAGGGAAAAACATTGTCCTAAAATTCGGGGTATCACAAAGGTACTTTAGACTACTATCATTTTGGCACTAACTCTGTTATTGAAGAAGGTTTTCATCAATTTAATATTTTAGTCTAAAATTTAGAAGGTTATATATAAATTTTTGAAAGGGTTAATTATAGTCTATCGCCCTAAGGTATGATCTTGGAATCAAAGAAAACCGGTATGTGATTCTGAGTTTGACTGAACACACCAGCCTTCAGCCTAAGAACTTTTAGTACCGTAAATGGTTGTAAGGTAAATTACATTAATTCATGTAAACTTGAGTGGCAGTAGAACTGCATGACGTTACCAGAACTTGAAAGGAATGCACCTTTCATTTGCATGGACAAAGGATATGTGGTCTTCATATACAACTGATCCGAAATCCAAAATGGCTGTAGTCTTATTCCTTAATAGAATCTTTGATCATGTGGAAGATTCATATGCATAGTAAGTTCGAGTTTTCATAATTGAGTGGATAATTCAACAGACGAATTTTAAAAGGAGTCAGTTCTCTTTCGTGTCTTTTCCTTTTCTTCCAGCCAAGAAGACCAAAATAATTGCCATTCTTTTTTGAAACTATAATTCCAAGAATAAATTTTGTATTCCTTTGCGAAATTTTAGTGTGTTTCTTTGACAGTACTGCACCCTCTCCCCAATAAAGCATTGTTGCAATTTGTCATGCAATTGCCAAAAGAGAACAAAATCATATCCAAGTACCTGAGATATGTAACAATGTCAAATAAGATTACTCGGTAAAACTTAGATGATCATGCCACTACTACAACACTTCAACTTCTGGTAAAAGAAACCTTAGAACTCTATAAATAACAGATAACAGATACAACATTTACAATTTGATCTAACCCTCAACAAGAGTTCAAGATTAGCTTAGAACATGCACCTCCTTGTTCCGGAGGAACTCATAATAATGTTCTATTCCAGATAGCCAGAAGTCGTCTATTTTTTAGTTGATTAAGATGTCATTTGACCATAAAAGCATTTAACATACAATTGTCATAAATACTGCATGATGTGAACATACTCAAGAGGGGCAAATTTCAATGAATTATAAATCCCTTTTGCTGACAAGGCTGTAAGTAACCGAAAAACATGCTCTTTAATGCAATAACATCAAAGAATATGCTGCCAGAACTGAAGATACTACAATTACCAAGCTTTCCTTGTCAACAGATTGCTGAAAGCCTTACCAACATACATAGCTATGGAAGAGGCCTAAATTTGCTTGCAACCATACAACGTTCTAATGTTGGATTAACGAAGTAGTTAGACAACAGCTGTACCATAATAATCTGACAAAAAAAAAGGCAGACACTCTAAAATTTGGTCCACTTTATGATTATGCCTTAGAAGCTGAGCTGATAGCATAACTTTTGATCCAGCTGAGCTGATATCACAACTTTTAATCCTACAATCTCCTCTGTACAACCATTGATCCTGTGTTGCACCGTGAGGATCATCAGTTTTCTTCATCCTCAACACAAGCTGAAAAGAACAAAAGAATGCGCAGATAATTGGAAACATAATTACCAATTGCACTAGTGCAGCAACTGAATAACATCAAGCACATAAAACGCTATCACAACACTTGAAACAAGATGCATATGCTGTTCAATGTGTGTTTGAATCACCACAGGATAAGTAAAAAAATGATAAGAAGCATGAGAAAGGCCTGCAATATGGAAAAAAGAGGGAAAAAATTCATCAAGAGGAAAGATCAACTTCAAAAACCAAAAAAACACTCATACAGCCTCAAAACTGAACCAGACAATTGTAGGCTTATGTTTCTACTCTCACTCAGTGGATCATGGTAAGGATCTATCTGCAAGTAGTGAGACAATGTTAAGATATACTTGTGACGCTTGGACAAGAATACAAAACTCCGCCTTGACATGGTGCATGCAGGGGGTGGTGGTGTCGCACACTTGCACTTAGCTTCACTTTGGGCATGAAACATTTGTTGAAAACTGCAGACCATCATATTCAGTTCTTTCTGGATATCAAGTTTTTGAAAGCTTCAATTTCAATTTTGATCTAAGTTTTGAAACCACTATCATAAACCAACTGGAAGGACATTGCATATGTTTTTCTACTAATTTATGTTTTCAAAAAGTTCCTTCATTCAACAATATTTAGTGGATTCTTTTAGTTCAAAACTTGGAAAACATCAATTGGGAAGGAAAAGAAAAGCTTAGACAAAACAAAAGTTCAATCAAACGCTTGACAGCCTAATCTTAGCTAGTCTAAACAGAATCTCTCTCAAAGTTTAAGCACCATTAATCGCCAAACAGAAACTCTCATTCAAATTGGTGGCACCCCTCAGCTCTCCCAATCTCAAGCCCCTCCCACAGGCCCTTCATCCCTCTGTCTCCTCTGGATCCTACTCCTCCACCAACAACCTCCGGCCTGGGGGGGGGGGTGTTTCTTGAGACCAGAACTGGGGCACACTTACTGACTTACATCACTAAGACCCTATTACTTAAGCACAGTTCGTCCAAGGACTAAAGATGCTTTCAGTCTAACCTATGACTTCAATAAAATGGCATGCAAACAAAAAAAAAAGGGAATGAAAACCTTACTCTTACTGAACCTAATTTTCCTGGCTTATGGTATATTTCCGACATCAACTTTAATACTACAAAGTACAAGGCATTAAAAAGTTAAGAAGAACCGGCAAGATAATCATCATAGGTCATTCCTAAAACCCAATTCAGATCAACAAAAGCTCAATCCAATAATCATCATAGGTCATTCCTAATTCCCAATTCAAATCAACAAAAAATCAATCCAATGGAAAAGAAAAAAATCCAGGAAAAGCCCACTTTTATGACTACCACAACAGTCGAATTAGGAAAAGTCAAAGGCAAGCTATCACTACTAAAACCCAATTTTAATTAGCATAGATTCAATCAGAAATCAAGTAAACAATCAAAGCCCAGATAACAAGTAGTTTTGCTCCATGCAAATTAACAATAATAAGGGTAGCAATATCTCTCCAAGTTTTGGTGGGATAGGTAGAGAAAGTACAGGGGTATAATACCTCCACAGCAGAAGCAACAATAGCAGCAAGAAAAGATCAACAACAATTCTCTGCAGATTGCAATCATTTTTTTGCCCTTTGTAAGACGGTCTTCACTATTATCATCTAATAACTTCTGCCGATGATCATCATTAGCATTATTACTACTGCTGGTGCCGGACGGGGAATGCTGCTGCTGCTACTGTTTTTTCTCTAAATTCATACGGAGGAGATTGAGCTCGGGTTTCTTCAAGTATGCAATCTTGAAAGAGTCCCTCAATCTCATCGATAGCCATAGATGCTTCTTCTTGTTTTTCCTCAATTTAGCTGCTGAAAGATAGGAAGTTTGGAACTGGAAGCTGGAGGGGTTGACTAAAGAAAATTCAAGGTGCGCAAAGAAAAGCGGAGTTTGGTAACGCAACTTCGTGATGCTGTGACCAGTGACCAAACGGGTATGTGGGACACTACATGCAACAAATTATTTGTCTCTTTTTTACTCTAACGTGAAATCTTCTTCCGAAATAGAGAAAAATGAAACTACTTCATGGAAATTCATTTTTTATTTGTTTTTAGCAAAAAAAAAAAAAGAAAAATAGATGGAGTGTCATCATTGACAACGCCAAAAAAAAGGTCCAAGTTTAACATTTTATCTTCTTTTATATAATAGATTTTTTTTTCATTTATGTTATTGGGAGTTGGAGAAAAATTTTAAAAATAAATAAATAATGGTATGTGATTTTGTTGTTTAATTCTTCATGTAATAAGCTATATTAAAATGAATAATCGTGCAGTCGAGCATTACCAGATAAATGATTTCAATTTATTTTAAGGTATGATGTCAAAGAATAAGATAAAATAGCTATCTAAAAGAGAATTTAAAATAAACAAACTCAAGCATAATATACCCTTACTTACAATAGTATAAACAATTACTTTTGAGTGGAGTCCTAATAATATGAATTAACAAAATTTATGTAGACATATAAGCCATTGCTATTTTGATATAACTAAAAGGAAAAATGACAAAAAAAAAAAAAGAAATACGGGCCACGCCACGCGGTCTCCCGACCCGACGTGGACAACAAGCGAAACGACGTCATGAAATACTCCCATCTTAGAGGTGCGTTCGAGTCGAGTTGAGCTCAAGTAGTGAGGTAAAATAACTAAAATCGAGATCGAGCTCGAACTCGTCGAGTTTTTAGAATTCAAGTTCGAGCTCGAGTTCGAAGTCAATTTACGTTACTCGAGCTCGAGCTCGAGTTTAATTAAATCTAATCAATTCAAATCAAACTTAATCGAGCCTATTCGAGCTCAATCAAGCCTAATCAAACTCACGTAATAAAAATTAATATTGTACGTATAATTTTAAATAAAGTATATTATTGATATTTCACAAAAATAAAAAATAAAAATATATATTATAAAAAACTTGATTAGGCTCGTCGAGCCTTTGAGTGCAAAATATTGAAACTGGAGCTCGATTCGCTGCTTCTATCAAACAACTCGAACTCGATCAAAACGAGCTCGAGCCGAGCTGCTGACCAAGTAGCTTGCGAACTCGAGTCAAGCTACTCAATCTAGCATTAGCCCTTTTCCGGGAAAGCTAAGAATCGAAACGGTATCCAAATTGGACTAGTAACATGAAAATTAGTCCTAGTACACATTAAATAGGGGAAATAATAAAATGGGGGTATCTATCCTTTTATCACGTAATTCACACAATTGTGTCCATATTATTGGCTTTGAAATCTCAGGAGACTCACAATCGCGTCCATATTTATTATTCGTTTTAGAATCTTGTGAAATGAATCTCTATCACTCTTTCGAGCAGGACTTCAAATAAGTCGAGTCGAGTCGAATTTTGAACTTATCAAGCCGACCTCGATTTAATAACGGGTAGATTCGAGTTCGAACTTGAACTCGACGAGTCAAGATAAATGAGCTTGGGCTCGACTCGACCAAGAAAAAACCAGACTTGAACTCAAGTCGACAAGGCTCGCGAGCTGTAGTTCGATTTCTGATTTACGAGCAGCTCGAATTGTTAGCTCGTAACATAGTTCGGATTTCTGACTCGTGAGCAGCTCGTTAGCTCAAGTTTCTGGAAATTATTCTAATAAAAATAATAAATAATTATTTTTTCTTAATAAATAATAAAATATTAGGGATATATGTAATTTTACTATTAAAATAAAAATAATATATATATATACACTCGCGAACTAATGAGTTTAATATTTTAAACTCGAGTTCGAGATTGATTTCAATTTGACCAACTTGAACTCAATTGGAGTTCGATATTGATCGAGGTCGAATCAAATTTTGACTCGAACCGCTCGCGAGTAGATTAGTTCGTTTGCAGTCCTATTTTTTAGTAGTGGTAGTGTAGCAATGCTGTTAGTTTTAGTACGTCTTTTTTTTTTTATAGAGTTTTAGTAATCTCAAATCAGAATTTCTCCGACAACTGCTTAAATCTTGGAGGAATCAAACCGTTTGTTTGGATTGCTTCATATTTCCCCAATTTTATTTGCTTCCATCATCTTTACAATTTCCAATACACCTTTTTATCTTCCCAATATCTTTTTATCTCACATACATCACATCACAAAAAGTGCTACAGTAAAAATATCCCAAATAATCCCAAATAACTTACAATCCAAACATCCGTTTGGCATCCAACCAAGACCACAACTCTTATCAACTTGTAAATAAACACTCATATATAACCTTTTCTCTTCTCTGATTAGATTAGATGATAGTAAAGTGTGAACTTCCATATAGTTAGTGGAGTTAATTGTTGTAGTATTTATTACCTACTAGGTTACTTTGCATATATTCGACCAATATTTTGACGTCATTATGACTGTGTCAATAATACTAATTCTCTAGCAGGCCAAGCACAAGCAGCAAAGACTTTGATTATTCATTGCACCTACTTCCACAATTTTGACTAAATTTGTACTATTTTGTTAGAACTTGGTCGTAGATATATTACTATCAGTTTAAAATAATTTTTTTTAGACTTGGTCAAATATCAATTGTCCTTTATCAAGTTCGTTGGTCCAGTGGAACAAGGACTCGTTGCAAAAATCTTCACTGCTAACTCAATAGCCATTACATTCCAACTGATTTGTCAGTGCCACGAAGGCATACAGAGCAGCAACTGTGACATGTGATGAAAAGATGACAGTAATCATTTTGTAGGTGATAATCATTTTGTAGGTGATGATGATTTGCAATTAGTATTCATGAGAATAAAAAAAGAATAAAAGAGTAGATGAGCAGATAAAAATAGAAAGTTAGCTAGCATCCACAATCAAGAATGAAATTTTGGATAGAAATCGGGGTTCAAATAGAGGGGCTAACAAATGGATGTTCACAATTTGAGTTGTTCTAGGTCTGGCAAACGATTAGATTTACACACTAATTATGGCAATGTACGAGTGCTATGCCAATTAGCCTAACCTTGCTAAGTACTTGAGATTCTGAGTACCATTTTCGGGACAAGGGGTACAAACGGTTGCTAAGTGCCGGTTGTATTCATTTTTCACAGCGCGTAACTTTCATTGCACACGATGTAACTTACTTTACACACGACGTAATTTTACAACACTTTTTTGCGGGCCCCACACATGACGTGAAAATCGAGTTACATGCTGTAATCTGAGCCGCACAAATTTTTGAGGCCACATCATGGCCGTGAACCTTCAGAGTGACAACCGTTCCTGCCCCGTATCCCCATTTTCGCCACAAAGTCAAGTACTAGCACCTAGAGTTGTCAAAAATAGGCTATTTGAGAGTTAACTTAGATTCCCATTTTCGCCACAAAGTCAAGTACTAGCACCTAGAGTTGTCAAAAATAGGCTATTTGAGAGTTAACTTAGATTCGGTGTGCGTGTGTTTCTTTGCGCTATTGGAAAAAAAAAAACGGGTTTGAATGGATCATTATTGAATAACGGATATAATTAGGTTAATTCATTTATAATCATTTAATAAATGGGTATGAGTATTTTTCAATTACTCATTTATGAGTCATTTATTACTTTGCTTAATCTTTTTAAGTTTTTCACACATTGTTTAACAAAAAATAATGATATTTTATTATTATTAGATTGATAAAAAAATTTAAATTTATTTGTTTAACAGTCACTAAACTTTGAATTTAAATGTATAATTATTTTTAAACAGGATAAATGAGTTGAGCTGCTACCCACCAATTAAATAGGTTTAATTGAGTATCCATTTAGATTCATTCAAAATTAGTGGACAGGTTATTAGTAGATGCTTGGACGGATTTGAGTGAGTCAACATAATTAAATTGTAATTGATACCTCTATTATCACCTAAGCCTGAGAGACGAGAATACTAAACTTGCCTTTTAAATACCCTATTTATATACCCATCTTCTACTTCTACAAGGATAATACAAATGCGAATATGACAAAAAACAAAATATTGGCATGAATAAGTATATAAGATGTTAGTGCCATGAATAAATTAAATTTAAAAAAAGAAGAAAAAGAAATCTAATTGGAATTCTTGTTATCTATGTAATATAATTTAGATCTAATTTGCATCTCATTTTATCCTAAAACCATTAATGTCTCTATTTTAAATTTAAGGAAATATAATTATTCAAAATCAAAATTTTAGGGGCCAAAAGTTTAAATTCAAAGTTGTTGATTAACTGCAAATTGATGTTGACCGTTATTTTTGAATTTCCATTAGTTATCCTAACCTCTCATTTGGTACGTAGAAATGCTCAGAATGGAAAACCTTTTCCGCTCAGAATATATTTCCACCTAGGGGGGGAAAATTTTATTATTTCAGGGTCTAGTAGACAAGTCAAAATGAAATGTCTAATCAGTTTCCAATGTTAGGTGTAATTAATATTTAGATGTTAGAATGGAATATACTAAATACAAATTTGATTTAATTACCCTGAATTAGTCTGTAGAACATAGTATGTCTTATTACTTTTTGTTTTATTTGTTCTATAGTATTTGTCTATTTATATGAAATTTTCATATTTTTACTTCAAAAATAAATGAGAATTGATGTCAAAATTCTTCAGTTATAATACTAGGTTCATTCTAATCTATAGATTTTTTTAATTAAAATTTTGCAATTATTACTTATTAGCAATATAATTAGTAACGTAAAATATGAATTACGTAAAGTCGTAAAATTTATATTTCAACTATTTTCAATTTTGATAAGCTTCAAAAAATTCTTGCACAACTGTTCAAAAGTGAAAGAATAAAGCATTTTAAACATTTGTTTCCTAGTATAAAAGAAAAAAATATTTTAAATACTAGGAAAATTAATTACTATGAAAAATTAGATTCACATATTAATTAAGCTTACAAATAGTCTAAGATATCATGATGCAATATAAAGATTTATAAGGATAAATTTGACATCTTACTGTGTAGGCATTCTAAGATAAAGGTGGAAATGGCTTTCCCTAATTTATTTTTTTTTTTTTGAAAAATGGGATTCTAGTAAAATGTTGGAATGAGCATTCAAGAGGGAATTGACTTCCCCATCTAAATAAACCATACCAAACACTGAAATGGAAATGGACAAATTGGAGCTCGGCGGCAATAGATTTTGCACATGACCATTATCAAAACCCCATTCTTCCAAATTTTTTTTGGCCAATATTCTGAGCAATTAGCCCAAGAATTATAGGGGCGGTAGGGGTGGGGAAAAAAAAAAGAAAACCCAATAGACTCGATCCGAACTGCACCGATAATTAGGATATCTGATCCGATTTTTATCAACGAAGCAGATAGGATCGGGTAGGGGTGGAGTTGAACCGAATAACTCGACTCGAGCTCGCGAGCTACTTGGTCAGAAGCTCGAGCTCGAGATCGCTTGATTGAGCTCGATATTGAGCTTAAGCTGCTCGTTAGAGCTATCGAGTCAAACTCGATCTTAGAAATTTGATACTCGAGAACTCGACGAGTTCTATCGAGTATCGCATAAAAAATAAAAAAAAAATATATATAAAATTACTAATATAGGTAAACAATTTATGAAATTTACAATGAACCATTCTACCACCTTTATTTATTTGTGTGGACAAAGTAGGAATTTCATAAATCATAATTCTTATTTCTTATTTTTAGAGAACTTAATTTGAAAACATTAAAAGAAAAAAGTTATTAAAAGTTCTTTTCGCAGGAGAGACCTCCCCACAGGCACTGGCTCATAATTCTGGGGGATGCCTCTCAATTTAGGTAATAATTGTTGTCTGGTGCAATGAACCGTGGTGTTAGGACATCCTACTTTACACAATCAAAAGGAATCCCAAGTGGGCCAAGTCTACTTTAGCTAATAGAGGTTTTCCACCATACCTGTTATGAATCAGCCAGTCCCCATCAAGCCTTTCTTCCTCTTTTCAACTCCCAAGTCACGTCTCTTCCTCGCTGGCTCGTTGTAGCTTCTGTGCAAAATTTCACCGGCAAAGACCGTCGCCGGCTCGTAGCTTAGTAGCGAATCTGGTGAGGGGTAAACTTCAAAGACCGCTGCTGGCTCATTACCCACTTACCCCATCTGTCTCCCTTGAAGTTGGAGATTTTCAGCACTACCTTAGCTTGAGCTCGTAGGAAGCTGTCAAGGGTGAAAGGTACGAATATGAAATAAGTTCAACTTCCTTCTATTGCTATTGATTTGATGGTAGAGTTTTTAGCCCCAATTATCGGGTATTCCTAATTATAAACCCTAAATTGTAATTTAGACATATTAATTGAGAATTATTTTAGGAAACAATAAAATGGGCTCTACCTTGAGCACGTTTCAAGTATTAGTTGCAGTTCCATCAAGTTCACCATGGTTTCTTCACATTTGAGCCTTGAGTTGTCCTTCTGATGATGTGCAGATGATACTAATTTCTTTCCCTTTGTTTCCCCTTTATTTTTCTATTTTCTTTTGGGTTAATGGTATATATATGCATGTTTCTTTTAGCGATTCTCTTTCAACTCTCATTACCCATTCGGCCATTCCCTTGCCAAAGACAATGAATTAGAGAGTAAAAAGTAGAACTCCACCTCATTCAACTCTCTCTGTTATAGAAATATTTTCAAAATTAAATGCAATGGTTGCGGAGGATGCCATTTAGCAACAGCATTCTAAAAGACAAAGGATTAGTGATTAGTACAATATGAATTGCTATTTTATTGAAGGAAAGCACAGTTTTTTGCTGAATTCTAGTCTAGAAAACAAAAGTTTTCGAGCTCATTTTAGGAGCTTAGCTCGAGTAGTCGAGCTCAAATATTAAATGAGTTCGAGCTCGAGTTGTTTTTAACTATATCGAGTCGAGTTCGAGTCTGAAGTTTGAGGCTTGTTCAATCTCGAGCTCGACCAATACGCATAACCTTCGAGCGCGAGCTCGAGTATGGTACTACTCGAGCTCGACTCGACTCGACAGCATCCCTAGGGTCTGGTACTCATAATATTCGGATATGGATACAAATCATAAAAATAAAAACTCCACCCGACTCGGGGGCACATTATACAAATATTAAAAAATATAGGGGCACATTTATAATATTTTTAAGTCATTAGCCCTAACATCAATCATTCAATTGGAACTTTAGAACTCTGCCGACACTCCTTCTGGCTGCAACAGGCAACGCAACTCCTTTTACCCTTTCTCCTTCTCTTCAATTTTGCCCACCCCGTTGAACTCAAAAGAAAGCTGCAAAATTTTTTATTCTCAAAACTCAAGCCTCAAGCTTCAAGCAAAAGATTCAATAGCGACCTTCAATTTCTCAAGTCTCAAACATAAAGGTAATTTGGGCAAGTATTTGTTAGCATTTTGCATGAACTGGTATGTTTTCTTATCATATATAGACGTGACTGGTCTTTTTTTTTTCATGACAATTTTTCTTTCATGAGAATCACTACCGCAGTCATATTAGTATGTCCATAGAAGTCTATTGACCACTAGAATTTTGCCTTTTGAGTACTACCAGAGAATGTTTTTCTTTTGGATATCTAAAAGTGAAAATCTACGGCTGATGGACTAAACGTTTCATGTCTCTGTCTCACAGTTATTAGTATCTTTTGATATTTGGACTCAATATATGCTGTGTAATATTGGAGTTGTTAAGAAGAGCTTGAGACTGTGATTCCACAAATTGGGGGACTTGTGAGAATAGTTAATGGGACTTATCGTGGGTCAAATGCTAGGCTGCTAGCTGTTGATACAGATAAGTTCTGTGCTAAGGTGCAGATTGAGAAGGGGATTTATGATGGCAGGTTGATTAAGGCGGTTGAATATGAAGATATCTGCAAATTGGCTTAATGAAAAATGCTGACAAGAATGTACTAACTGTATTGTGATTGAGTGGTAATTGTTCTGCTTTCCAGAGTTTTTCAGTACCATGATAGTCTTCATCTTTTATGAATGATTGCAATCTTCTTTCTTGTGATTTATTAAGTTGTCTGCTCTGTTTCATGCCATTCTATGTTTTTCTGATTGTGTTAAGCATTCTGGTCTCTGTAGGCTCTATCTTCCATACTACTTGTGCTACTTGTATGAATGAGGGACCTGGAATTTGTAAAGGTCTGGTTCCTTAAGATCACTTCATTAAAACTGTTTTGCATTCTTCTTTAGGTTGCATGAGTTTTATAGTACATACTTTTACTATATTCCTTTCAGCTGGTAAATTACTTTTTAGTAAAGTTGAGAGTTGCTTGGCTTAACGACAAAGCAGCAATGAAATTCTTTCATTCATTTTTTGTACACACGCACACACACAAAACAAACACACACACACACAAAACAAACAAACACACACACATACACGTATAAAAACAAAAAAAAGCCCGCAAATTTAGTCAGCATCTTGTCATCTCATCGAGCATTCTAGACAGAAAATTGTAGTCCTCTTACAATACATCCTAGAAAGAGGGAGACATGGGCTGTGCCTTGGCTGGGGTATTACCAGGCAGGTGTGTAATCTAGAAAATTCTGAGAACTGCGAAGTAAGTTGTGTTGAGGTTTTTGACACAATTATAGTAGTGGCATAAGAGTTTGACACAATTAATATCTGCTCTTGTTTAGGGTCTTGTTTAGGGTGAAATATCTGCTCTTGTTTTCAGATGTACCGTAGTTAGTATTGAAGATTGATGATTTTAAGAGTTACTTGTGCTCCTTAATGTGTTGTAGAAGGATGAACCTTTTCTATTGATATTCAATGTTTTAATTTGTATTTTCAGTTTACAAATCTGTTCTTGAAATCCGTTGTTGAAACATTTTCGGGATTGTAGCTTTGCTTGAAATTTTATTGTATTTGTTGACATTCAAATTGCAAAGCGGATGGTAGAATTATCTCATAGTCAAGATTATGAAATTGGTGTGGAACTACTGTTACTGATCACTAGGAGCATTTGAATATACTTTGTCTTTGTCTTTGAATAAACTCCTATATGTTAGAAAATTAGATTCATTTATTTTAGGTGGTTTCTTTAAATAGGGGCGGGTACCCTATGACCCCCCCTATTTTTCGGGCAGCCGAGGACAAACGGAATGGATTAGGGTCAAAAAAATAGTGACCCGACATATTAGGGTCGGGTCAGCCATTTGCCCTTCGGGCGCGGGTACCCGACCTGTGCCCACCCCTGTGGGGCGGGTATCCTATGATTCATCCCTTTTTTCGGGTATTCGGAGACAAGCAGAGTAGATTAGTGTCAAAAAAATAACCGATCGGGTAGGGTCGGGTCAGACAAATCACGTTTGGGATGGGTACCCGACTAGTGCCCACCTGACAACTACTATACTAATTAAACTAACTTGCTTATACTTTTGCTTATGTGCTTTTCCAGATCTAGGTTTCCGCAACCATGACAACCAGATTAGTGACAGTACCTGAATTTTCAGAACCGCAAAACAAAACAGGTCCGAAATGGGGAGATGAAACATATCTTGGACAGGAAAGTTATGCTGTTGTCCAAAACATTTTTGATCTTGAGAGTCAAAAGGTGGTCTTTAAAGGCGTAGGAGAAATCAAAGAATTTCTTTGTTTCTGTAAAAGTTGGATTCTGGTCCGTCAAAGTGAAGATGGAAATTCCCTGGATTCTTATTGCATTGTTAATCCAGCTACAGAAGAGGTTGTTGACTTGCCAGCTTATGAATACTCCTTTTTTCCTACTGCATTTGGTTTTGATGTGAACGATGAGAATAGGCCAGAAGATATCATCTTTTTCTGTTTTGATATCAATACACGAATGTTCCAGTGTAGGTTGTTGTACAATGATTCGATCTGGCTACAACTGCAAGTGGGTGGTGTAGAAGACCTCCCTACCAATGTGGACAACTATATGAGACCAAAGAATGTGTTAGTTGATTCTGAGAATAGGTCCATATGGTTTACATGTGACCAATGTGTTTGCGTTTTCAAATACCCAAAAGTTGATGACGGTCCAGTGTCATATGATGTCCCTCTCAGGTTTGTGTGTGATGATGCGCCGTTAAGCTTGGTCAGGTTGCACAAAGATATTTATGTTGTGACTCTTGATTATTTGAGAAGATGTTTTAAGGTGTTAAAATTGGAAGCTAATTTTGAACTGCAAAAGCTGCACTCTGAACCTATTGTGATGGAACAACAGCATTGGGACTTATTTATAGCGTCTGGAAGATCAGGTTATGCCTTGTTAGGTGAAGGGACAAGCTCTTCCAAGCTGTACATTGCTAACTTTCTGAAGGACAATCCGCATTGGGAACTTGATGCAGAGTGTGCTTGTTATGATTTCTCAACCGGAGAGACATCAGTACTTGTTAAGTGTCTTAGTGTTCATGGTTGCGCCTATCAGCATCCTGGTTCATATTGGGAGTGCCGCTGCCACTCAGCATGGATACATGGGAATGAGTGAGAATGAGAACAGAAGCATTATCAGAGACCAGTTTTGCCCAGGTATTCATTTTTCATTTTGAATTATTTGCTAAATTCCTTTTATTCGCTGTTGTTGAATCTGCATTCTCTTATTTAACATACTTAAAGTAGTATCATGTTCCCAACGTTGAAATCTTTACCCCACAAACTGTCAACTCACTTAAGTTCCAAGAAAACACCGTTTCGTCACCCTTGAAGTAGCCAATAGGTATGCATTTGGAACAAATTTTTCTGCTCTTAACAAATAAAGTGGTTGTTTTTTCATTCTATCTAGAGCCCTTTTGTATACTCTACTGATTGCCTACTTAATGAAGATCCACCTCCTACACATTTCTGTTTGTCATATATCTTGTTGGCAAACAGGATGTATAGAAAAAGCAGCTTTGCAATGCATGTTGACTGCAAGTAATGAGTTACATGATCACCTTCTGTGTACATAAACCACAGCTGATGCGGCAATCTTTCATTTGTTTTATTTCAAAATTTCCCTTCCCGTCACATAGTTGCATTAAATATCAGAACCTACTTTCTTATAAAGAGCTTTGAGTAAACCACTGGACAACCCTTATTTGTGAGCCCCATGAAGCTTCATTGGATAGAGCTTGATTTCTATCTCGTCTTCCTATGTTAAGTTCCATTTGTCTGTTATTTTCCTCTCTGTACCTTCCTATAGGAATTTTGTGTGTCTGTTATGTTTGCTGCACAGACTGGACAGGCAAAAAGAGACGTTAAACAGGTAGGCAAATGGAACAAAGTATGCTGTCCAGGCGAATATGTCTTCTTGTGATATTGCTTTTGCAATTTTACTACCAGCTAGAAGATTTTTTTAATGTTGCAATGACCTGGTTAGATTCTGCAATTTTCTCAACTTAAACCTCAATGATTAAACTGTTATCTCATCCTGCATCTTAGAACATTCTGTTGTATCGTAATTGGGGTAATTGGGGTGTAAATGAGTCAAGTCGATACCAAATACATTAATGTTTCTTTGAAGTTCCCTACTCTGGTTTGCTGAGTCCTTCAAAAGGTTCAAGCTTGACTTCGGATTATTTGAGCTCTAATGCAAGGTGTATCGAGTCTCCACAGCTTTCTTTCTCCAACATACTCACAGTACCTATTAAGAAAAAAAACACTACAATAAATTGTTGCAGTTTTTTTACCAAAAAAGAAAAAAGGGTGTCCCCCGGGGGGGGGGGGTGCCACCCCAAAGACAATATGAACAAGAAGAGGGAACAATTGAACACAAAATCCACAAACCGAAAAAGAACTCTAATCAAGATCTATTGTGAATTCAGAAACAAATCTGGTTGCGTCTTTTTCATGGTTATGGATCTTGTGAGATGGTGATAACTCTTGATCAGTTTCAGTATTTTACGAATAGTAACCTCCACTATCTCTTCCTAACCATTTGGGGAGAATGCTTTGGCCCAAAGATCTATGTAGGAGTTTGGCTTCTTCCCATGTAGATAGTTTCCGAAAGTAACCTCCTTATGCAGTTGCTTTTCTGATTTTTACAATCTTCCTCTAATTGTGTGAACTTTGGTTCTGTTCAGGATGTATTCCAATCATCTTGCTTCTTGTGCAGATCAGATCTTCTTGCCATATTTTCTGTTTTTTGCTTGACTACTACTTGCAATTAAGTTTTCCCGTATGAACTCCAGTGGAAATTTTGCCCTTCTGCAGGCACGCATTAGTTTTTTTTTTCCCTCGAGAGCCTCTGGAGTATGTTGCTGGTCTTACTTCGTCATAATCAACCTATTTCATTTTATTTTTTGGACTATAAGATTGTTTCTAAACGTTATCTCCAAGAGTCTTTCTACATGTGAAACCCACCATTTCCCTTATTTAACGGCTTAGTTTTAACCAATGACCAATGAATTAATGTTGAGTAAGATTGATTTGGCTGTTGGGCTCAGAAAATCATTAACTCCTTCTTGCTACCTGACCAGTTGAATTAGCCTGAGACAGAAATGATTCAAATTCCTCCTCTTGCGAAATTTAACACAAGCTGCTTATTGTTTCTTTTTTGCCAGGACAAGCATTTAAAGTGCGCACACCTTTTGGGCATTTAATGTTACTTTAGTTGTAATTTGAAGTATCAACCTCGAGGAGACAGGAATGGTCCAGCTTTTGAGGCGTTTAGCAATGGCTAAGAATGGAATTTAAGCTTAATGTGAACTAGTCTTTTGTACTTATGCAATGGCACATATTGATGTTGTACTTGTCTGACTTTATGTTTGGATGGGGTTTTGAGTTGCGCCCTGTGGAGCATGACCTGCTATTTTTTTTTGGTTGATAGGAGGGCTTTAGACCCATTACATAGCAACTAATCGAGGCGTAGTAACACCTACTACATCATATGCCAACCACTTCCTCAACTCTATAGGGGGAGATGCCAGCTCGTGGACTCCCGCCTCCAAATTCAAAGCACTCTTAGCTAAGCAGTCCGCACTCAAGTTACTCTCCCTCCATTGATGAGTTAACTCACATTGCCATTGCCTATCCCCTAAGCTCCGTATTTGATTGACCTGTACCAGAAGGGGGCTCTCTGTTGGCACTTTGTCAATAGTCTCTAAACTCACTTTAGAGTCCGTCTCAAGGACCACTCTTTTGAACCCCTTATCCCATGCTGTCTTCATACCAAACCAAATAGCCGATAGTTCAGCTTCAACAATGGTCCTATGTCCTAAATTTGCCTGAAATCCGCAAATCCACATTCCAAACTCATCTCTTAAGAGCCCTCCAGCCCCTGCAATCCCATCCTTGGAGCTAACCGCCCCGTCCACATTAACCTTTATCCAACCTTTCCCCGGCTTACTCCACCCAATGTTTAGAAGATGCCTGTCCTTGCTCCTAGTATCCCTTTCTAGTGCTAGTTGATTAGCTTCCAACACCGCAACACCAATTTTCTCTAGTGTGTCGATTTTACTACTATCATTCATGATGTCAAAACTATTCCGGCCTCCCCATATTAAATACACAACCTGTTGGAACACTAACCGCCAGTCCAGATGCTCCCACCTACCTAGATCCCTTCTTTTCAAGTTCCAATCTAACCACTCCTCGGCACACTTATTGTTAAATGTCTCCCAATAATTCGGATGAACTAGTCTGAACCATATCTTCCGAGCCCAGGAACAGTCCCTTAGTGCATGGAGCTGCGTTTCAGGATCCTGCCCACACAATTTACAGTAACTGACCTCCTGCAGGTGCCTTCGCTTCTTTTCTGCATTAGTTAAGAGCCGTTGGTGTCTAGCTAACCACAATAGGAACTGCCATCTACCCGGTCCTCTTTGTTTCCAAATTTGAGTCCATCCATGTTGGTCAGCCCGTATCTCTGCATTACATTCTAGCTGATATGCCGATCTTGTTGAAAACACCCCTCTAGGATCTGGAATCCACACTGGCAAGTCCTTGTCAGGGCCCTCCTCCATTAACTGGATTTCCAATAGCTTACATACCAAAGGGTTAGACAAGTAAGGTTTCAGCGCATCCATATTCCATCCCTCCCCAACAACCCAGTACTCTTTAACTTTCTTGTGCAGCTCCCCCGACGGAATTGTTACTGCACTCATTTCCATTAACGGCCTTTCTAACAACCATGCATCCTTCCAAAAGCTAACATCCACTCCATTGACCACTGTCCATCTCACTCCCTTCCTCACCACCTTCTGTCCCTCCTCGATACTCACCACCTTCTGTCCCTCCTCACCACCTTCTGTCTCATGACCTGCTATTTAGCTTTACTTGTCTTCCACATCTCTTTTAGGTTCTCTAGCTTCTGAATTCAATCTGATGGAACTTATAAATGGTTTTGGAAATAGTGTTGCTGAATGCGGTAAGTTCTTGGACATTCTACTTGAAATGGTGCATGGTTGCAAATGCCTGAGTTTTGTTTGGGTGGGGCTTTGGGTTGCGCATTGTAGAGCATGACTATCAAATATTGGCTTTATGTGACTTCCCGATCGCCTTTAGGTTCTCTAGCTTCCAAGCTCAATCTGATGGAACTTTTAAATGGCTTTGGAAATAATTGCCGACCTCTCCCTGCAGGGGCTGCTTTGCCGAAAGCCCGTGAATTCATTAATCTTTCCTGCTGCTAGAAAATAGAAATGTTTGACCAGGGAGAAGTCTGGAAACTTGTATGATTTGCGCTCTGATAAAACTGGGAGTAATTACTGGATTCATGTATTCAAATCTGAAGAGGTAATTAAAAATTTTAACTTGGATAAATTTGCTTGATGAGGGAGGTAAAACATAGAAATATTGATTGGATAATTTAATGAATAGACATACTCTTCCTTGCAGTGCCCGTGTTAAGATGTTGTTATACACTATTGTATTGATAGAATGATTTTGAGTGCTTTTAGACTTTTAGTAGCAATTGAAATTAAAATGTCCCATACTAGCCAAGAAACAAACTTTTGATATTGCTGATTGAGTAAATATGTAGTATGGTGTCTATAAAATCTCCTGTGTATGCTATTAACTCATAACTATATATTCTTTTGGGGGCTAAGAGTGGCTCTAAATTTTATGAGAAAAGGGAAGAGAAGAATTAGAATGTCAAGTCAAAGATTTTATGGTCATTCTAACTAATGTTTTTATTAGTTGAAGTAGATATTAGTAGTGTTTTGAAAACTGGATTGGACCGACCAATTTGACTGATTGAACTACAAATTAGTCATGCCTTCGTTTCGATTCAATGAATAATTCAAAGAATCAATTGAATCAGTCAAATCCGATCAAAGAACCAGTTGAACTCATAAAAATGGGAGGTTCGACTAGTTTTTATTAAAATTTTATTTTCTAAGATAAATGCTTTAGTTTTATTCAAAATTTTTAATGCTAAAATAAATTAAAAAATTATTAAATCTTTGAATCGGAGTTGTACTGGTTGAAGCGAGCACAAACTGAAAGCTTTTTCAGTTTACCCTCCAATCAGAGAACATTGGATATTAGAAGCATTAACCACATGATCACAACTAGTTTGTCAATGATTTCATAAGAAGAGGACAGTGGCGAGCAAGCCTGTATAATTCAGAATGTGTAGAGATCTAATTTTGTCAGTCTAACCATCTCCTATTAGTTGGTAAAGACATCTAAATACGGTTGGTACTGTTTTAAAGCCCTACTTCCGGTGTTTTGGCCAGGAAAGGAAGAATGCAATTTAGCTATACTTTTGTAGGACACATAAAACCGAGAATCAGCATCACAAGTAATGAAGCTCAATCCCACTTATAGACATTCTTCCATAGAACAACGTCAAATCGAGGCGAATGAAGGGACCCAATGTATTTCAATCGATTGCAAAAGATCTCCCTTAACCACAGAAATGGTGTTATAGGTACCTAGCAACATTATTGTAGAACAGAACAACACTTTTTCCCTTTACTCGGGTGATCTTTTTAAGCCAAGGCAAACACAAAGTGGGTAATATTAAGGATCACTAACTTGTTCCAGCTTCAGGTACGAGTTTCAGGACATGAAATACTTCTGTTGGGATCCCAGTGCTCATGATCAGTCCAATCTCGCAATCAAATTCTGATACCACTTATTAGAATCCAAATGTGGAATAAACAACTATTGATATATTAAGTATACAACGATTTAATGATAAACAAATTACAAGTATGAAAGATAAATGACACACAATATTTAACGTGATTCGACTCCATCATTGAATCTATATTTACGTAGAGAATTCCGTTCTTTATTATAAAAGGAAAATTCTATACAATAATACAATTTGAATCCAAACCCAACTTTTATATACCATCTCTTATCTTTTAAGAACTCTCTTTCACTCCATGTATAACATTATATGTCGTCTTTTGTGTGTCCTTGTATGTCCTTGTGTTGTATATCCTTGTGTTGTATGTCAAACCCCCTATTTATAAAAAACATTAAGATAGCCAAATAATGGTTAGAAATTATTTGCTTACATCACAAATACAATTTTCAACACACTTTTTTATCTTTTCAATAACCTTTTTATCTCATATACATCACATTACAAAAAATTGTTACAGTAATTATTTCAAATAATCTCCTATCCAAACACACTAATTATTTGGCCAAAAAATCAAATAATAACAGGAATTCAGTGCTAATTTCTAGAATTGTACAAATAGGAAATAACTCCTAAATTTCAAACAAAATAGAAAATTTCTTGACTACTATATTATATAACTAAAATCAATTAAAAAACTAGTTATTTTCATACAAAATAAGAAATCTGCATAAAAGAAATTAAACTAATTTTCTAATAAATTTCCACTTTGGCGGATTTTTTTTTTAACATTCAATTACCTTCAACTATCAAATAAAATGGTACCAAGTTATACATTTGAATCAATATAGTTCTGACACCAAATTGATTCAATCAGTAAATGAAGATGTGTAGTTACCCTAAATCCAATTTTTAGTTGACTTGCAAGAAGATGTCTCAATTCACCATCTTTCTTTGCAAAATTTTTTCTCACCATCACTTGCAATTCAGAATCTCTTTCTATGAGTTCTAACCATTGAGACAATCAAGTGATAAAATTACCATATTTCTTCCCATTTTCAGGGCTGTCTTGCCATATTTGATTTTCAAAACTCTACCTGTAACGTAAAAGTCGTAGTCATCAGAGTCTTTTGACATTTAAAAATTAGATTCCTTTATTTCTTTAAAACATGTTCCATATCATCTAAAGAATATAATTCAAATCTAAAAATCTCCAAGATGAAGTATCAATCGATGAAGTTGTAAGAAAGTTTCTATCGATTTATGTCCTAAAAAATGAACATTGAATTACATCTTTTTCTTTGCCCTAATCACCTGTCTAGATTCACCATTAAATATCTTATACTTTCCGACTTCCATCCATCACCTTTAATACTTCTTGTCAAACCTTTGAAACAAGAATACCACCATTAAATTGTTCAATTGGTAACAACTATTAATTAATTTGATCTCAATAGTCAATCAAGATTCAACTACGAATTCCGCTCTAATACCAATTTGTTGGGATTCAAGTATCCATAAGTAATTCAATCTCGCAATTTGAAATTCTAATACCACTTGTTGGGGATAAATATCTCGAGAGAGTCTATCAAAGAATCTAATATGTAAGTTAGGAATCCAATTATAACTTAAAAGTTTAAGGTTTCGAACTCTTACTTACATATTAAATCAGGAATTTAACTCTGACCCAAAAGATTAAACTCTTTTTTCATCTTTCGAATCAATGTGAAATATAATTCTTTACCCATAAATTTAACAAATCTCCCCCTTCATGAGTAATTCCTCATATTAAATTCAACTTTTCAACCTCTTCTCTAAACCCACTTTAGTATTCAATGCAAATATACTTTATCACCTAAGATCACCTCTTCTCCCAATCATGGATTCACTATTCTTCAACTTTCAAACTACATTCTAAACCCCTGCTAACCCTTGGTTCCTTGATCTAATACCAATTGGAACCCTTATCAAACCCATAGTGCACCTGATCTAATACTAACAAATTTCTTAGCACCTTGGCATTTCGGTCCATCATCAAAAAGAAAATTTTTACCGGTCCAACTCTAAGAAAAATTTACTTACCCATGAGTAGCCCAATCTCGCAATCAAATTTTGATATCACTTCTTAAGATCCAAGTGCGGAACAAACAACTATTACTAATTTGCTACAACGATTTAATAATAAATAAATTACAAGTACGAAAGATAAATGATACACAATATTTAACGTGATTCGGTTCCATCATTGAACATATATTCATAGAGAGAAACCCATTCTTTATTATAAGAGAAAAATTCTATACAAGAATACAACTTAAACCCAAGTCCAACCCTTGTATACCATCTCTTATCTTTCAAAAAAATTCTCTCTCACCCCATGTATAAGACTACATGTCGTCTCTTATGTGCTCTTGTATATCCTTGTGTAATATGTGAAATCCACCTATTTATAGAGAATATTATTTGATCAAAAAAATTAAATAAGAACAGAAAATTAGTACTGATTCTTAGACTTGTACGAAATAGAAAATAACTTCTAAATTCTAAACAAAATAAAAAATTTCTTGACTACTACTTCAAATAACTAAATCAATTAGAAAACTAATTACTTTCACTCAAAACAAAAAATCTGCCTAAAAAAAATTAAAGCGATTTTTTAACAACTTCAAATGTGTGAGAGCTGCTTTTTGTCCATGTAAGTGAACCTCAAAGCCTGCTACTCTCAGAGCAATAAAATTTAGGGGTTCATTGCTTGTGTCCATCCTCCTATCTCTCTGCCACATTAAGACCAGAAAATTAGCCAACAATGACTGCTACATCTCCTTGTCAAACAAAATGAAGAAAATAAGCAAACTCTAACAAGAGGCTCGTATTTTGACAAAAAGCCATTATTACAGAATTTGTACAAGAAACATTTGAATCCAAAGGGGCTAAAATCAAGAGTTATAGAAAGTAAACATTAATCACGGTAGCTAATTACCTACCCCATCATCGTATCAAGGATGCTGCCGAGGACCAAACACTTGGGAGGCTTCAAAGCATCTATACTATAGCTAACAGATGTAAATCACAGTGCAGTATCTATATCATTGCAGTTATAGAGAGGCTATAGTAAGTTGTAAACTCAAGAAAGCATGAACGATGTTGTACAAGCAGACGGTTAATAAAAGAAAGAGAGAAGGGCCAAACAATTCTTGAAATCTAGTCCTTCAAAACAGATAAATGTCTATACAGAATTGTAGCCCTCCAAATTTTATAGTCCTTCAAAACAGATAAATGTCTATACAGAATTGTAGCACTCCAAATTTTTAGTAACCACCAACTCTTCTCTAACGGTGAATTTTTAGTAACCACCAACTAATTTTGTGATGCAGCTGTGTCTTCACCTTGCTCCAATAATATCTTCACTTTACGGAACGTGAGGTACACCAAACTAAGCGACACACTTAATTCATTTTGCAACATCCCTTCGCATTTATTCTAAATGTGTTCATTTTTTTTGTCATAACTATTAAAAGTTTCAATGATCCTGTGTCAACTAGGATGTGGCAAGCCATATGTGATAGATGTTTTTGTGTACCAACTGCCAATTATTAAACTATTATTAGATTAAATGACAGAGAAATTGCTTGCTCTTAAATAAGGTTTTGAATTCGAGTTTTGTGAATGGAGGAGATAACGATAAGAGAGTCAGTGCTTGGCTCTATATTAGTGGGACTTTACACCAAAAGATAGATTTGTTTATGTTTACGTTTTTATTTATGTGTGACCTCCTTTTTTTTTTCTTTCTAGTAGCTATCGGGGCATACTTAATGCGTGTGCAATTTGTCAAAAAATATTTTTAATTGAAAGAATCATAAAAATAGTGCAAGTGAATATTTCTATTTTATGTAATATGTAATAAAAAGTGTATCATATAAAAATATGTGCAATTGAAAATAAAAGAACATTTAGTAAGGGAGAACATGAGAATTGGAAAGAGATAATTTTGATTGACTAGGATTTATGTGGCAGTTGATAATAGAGGTGAGAATTGGAGAGAGGTAGTTTTGATTGAGTAGGATTTGTGTGCCAGTTTTTTTGATAAAATATCATAATTTCATTAAATCTGTACTAATAGCGGAAATTACATCATCAATCACATACAAATATCAAAGAACAAAAATGAAAAAAAGATACTTCAGATTTGAAGAATAATAAAAATTAAATCACAAAACTCCAAAATTACAAAATGAGATAAAATAATTATAGTTCAATGGATAGCTGTGCATGCTTCAATTGTCAAATCTATTGATTAACTTTTTCAAGTTCAGATATTATGATGAGATCTACAGAATAGATTCAAGATATTCCAAATCTGATAATCAAAATATGAAAAAACTTAGATCTAATAAAAGAAAAATGAAAAATTTGTCAAAAATCTCATTCGGAATCATTAGGAGAGACTAAAACTCTGACTAAAAAATTTAGAAGAGAAAAAAAACTTTCATTAAATAACCATAGGAAGAGAAGTAACTCTCACTAAAAAATTTTAGGACAAATTTTATTCATACAAATAAAAAGGAACTATAGGGAGGCTACTCCCATGGGGAAAGATCAAATTTTCTCTCTCCCATGTGAGGGTTGAAGGGAGTTTTGGTTAGAAATTTTTTTAGAAAGAAGGAAGAGAGAAGAAGGAGAGGAGTTTTTTTGTTAAAGTTAGAATACAAGTTTGTGTGTTAGTTGATAATCGAAATAAAGGTTAATAGATTAATGGATTATAAAAATGGATAATAGAAATAAATAAGGATTAATAGATAATAGAGATAAGGATGAATTTGAAAATGAACAAAATTAAGACCAAGTTAACTACCTCCACAAATATTTTATTATTGTAAAAAAGAGGTTTAGGAAATAAAATGGTCCTTTAATTATTATTTTTTAACTGGGCCTGCCTGCTATTTAGGTTTAAACACAGTGGGCCGGATAGGGGTGCATGTTGCAATAATACCTCCATGCAACGAGATATTTTATCCAGAGGACCAGTAACATACGACAAACGACAAACGACAAACGTCTTGTGCAGCAGCTCCTACCATATAAAATTACCAGAGAGGTCGGGAGTGGGGAAATACTTTGGTTAGCAGTCGTATTTTGCAGACAATGGACGGGTAAGGAACTCAACCCTAGTCCCTTCGAGGTTTTTTTTTTTTTTTTTTCCGGCATCTTTTGATCGAATAAATTGAAATCATCCCACCAGATAGATTCTATTTGAGTCCTAACCCTAGCAGTAGCAATGATATCCCGTTTTTATTCTTCGCATAGTTTATAGATGTTCAACTTATTTTTGCTAGGTAATCTTTTTTTTTTAGATGGGAGAGATTGATTGGGTTTGATTTTATCATTTTGTGAAAATCTATGGAGAGACCGGTGCCTTCAGTTACATTAACCTGTTGATTAGCTTTGTCTTCTTAATTTTTGATTTGGCTGTTTTATTGTCTCCAATCTGCGTAGCTTCTTACCCACCTTAGCTATGTTTGTTTGTTTGTAAGGATTTGAATTCTTACATATTCTAAATTCAACTGAATTTGTCTTTCAGATATTTTATCTGCGGGCCACCTCGGAATTGGAGGAAGGAGCTGCTCAAATTCTGTCCCCGTCCCCGTTATGACCGTGTTATTGGCCAATGGTGTGAAGAATGCAAAGCTCTACCCACTCAGAGTCTCTTAATTCAACCTCCTTCATATGACAGTAAGTTTGTTGTATGGGTTAGAATTTTACATTTTTGTGAATCCAGATTATGTCTTCTTTCGTTTTATACGTTTGTTCTTTCTGTTAAATGTTCGTCTTAGACAATCCTATTTTTGGATATGAATTTTACTGTGTTTTTTTTAGGTGCATCGGTGATTGATGGCATGTTAACGCCTGAGGAAGAGGAACCTTTGTTTGGAGCTGATCGTTTAGAGTGTCCACGGCTTAAGCGTCGTCGACCAACACACTGTACATCCTGTCATGGAATCTGTCGTCAAAGAACAGACTGCCAGCCCTGTTGTCAGATAAAAGACTGCAAATTCTGCCCATGGGAATCATTTCTTTTAGATCCTTCGTTGCAGACCATTTCTGTAGAATCTGCTAAATTTCCCTTCCTGATGGTTATCAAACCTGGAAAGAAAGCATGCTTTTTGCAAAACTTGGTCTTACCTGTACAGGTGGAATTGAAGCACCGGGAGATTACGCCCTTTTGTGGTAACTATAGGAGCATTTATGACCAGATAAAGAGGGCCCCCCATTGTTGTTTCTTTTTCCGCTGCTTGTATTCTAGAAAATCCTGGATGTTGCTTTACGAGAGACATCCTGCGTGCTGCCGTAAATTATCTGTCTTGCTATTGTTGAACCCTCTTATAAACCAAAGGATCGATCTTCCTGTCATTGGCCAAGTCATGGTCATTCAAGCCGCATTTTCTGTATCTGATGTAAATAATGTGAATGCTTCTCCTGATTGTGTTTTTGCTATTGTGAATGAAGCTAATTGTGATTATTCTCATAGTGGCAAGTCTGACATATTTTTGGCTATGTGGCGTCCTGGGTGGAAGAAATGGGAATTCTGTAAGGCTCAATATCCTCATCTGTCTCTTGACAACTATATTGGGATGGTGTTTTGCGGAAAACGAGTTCGTTGCTTCACTGTAGATGGGTGGATGTATGTTTTTGACTTGAATGGTGATGAATACTCCTGGGGGCTTTTGAGACATGTCCACGACCCTGATGAAGACGTAAACAAAGGTTTTCATATTGTAGTTGATGACAGTGATGACAGTGGGCGTTTAATGCTTACTAGAGCAGGTGGACATAGATCATACTACTTCACCATCAGTAAAGATAGTAACGAGATACTGAAAATTGTAACTTGGCTAGATGAGGCAGGCAAGACAGTTTACCACTTTTACAGGTTGGATCGGCTGGAGTTGGAATGGATTAGGCTGGGTGATGGTGAGTGGATGGATAGAAGTTGGTTCTTTACTGGTGAGTTCGTCTTTTCTACAGCTGTAATTGGAGGAGCTAAGATATTCAGAAAATCGGATGCTCCATCTGAAAGAGACAGGGTGAAGTTTATCTGTCATGATTTGCTCAGAAATTCTAGCCATAGTCTTGTTGGAGATTTCATCCGTGGAAGTTCTTGGGTTTGCCTGGGGTATTGAACATTTTCTTTGACATTGGCTACCAGTTTATTTTGGTTAATCTTTGACTTTTAAACCGTCTGTTGATCATAAAGTTCCCCTACGTCTTGAACTCCATTCTGTCATAATGTTCCGATCTCATTTTTGTGTTCATATCCTTAATTCATTATGTGCTGCTCTAACTATACTGGTGGGATTGGGAGCATAGAGAAGGGGTTTTCACTGTTACTGATTGTACCACTAATAATATGGAATGCAGATTCAATGAAACCTCTCATCCCAATTTTTCATCTCTGGAATGCCTTGCCAATTGGGACTATTTTATTGCACCACATTTGACTAGTCTACTTTGTTTCCCTTCTTTGAATAAAAAAAGATTATTTATTGCTACTTGCAGGTTTATTTGCTTTGCTTCAGTTTGAACCTTGGTTTTTATTTCCTTATTATGTTTAGGATCTGCCGTCGTAATTGAAATTATTGTCATTGTAATGCTGTGTGTTTTTTGGGTTGGATTCCTCTACTCCATAAGCATTTAGAAGTAAGTTGGCCTATCAAAGTGTCTATTCTACGAGATGCCTTTTGGTACACTCTCTCTTGTTTGTTCACTTGAGTCATGGAGTTTTATTTCCTGCACACTCCGGTTTATCCTAATTGTGCCTGGATTTTGTAATAAGAAGTTGTGATTGCCGAAGGTATTCCCACTATCTGTGCATTAGATGTATGGTAAAACCAGCTTCATCATGTAAGTAACATGTTGATTGCTACTGGCCAGTGACATATTGATTCCTTATACATTAACCTAACTATGTGCATTAACCTAGCTTTATTCTACTTAGAGAAAAGAGCTGCAATTAGACCTCTTCAGAACCCTAATCCTTGTGTGTAGGAGCCCCATGGAGCATATCCAAGATTTGCATACTGGATTATACCCAACTGAACTGCTTTTTCCCCATCTTCTGCTGATAGTATTTCATGTGTCTATGTTTTCCTCTTTTCATCCAGTGGAGTTTCATGTGTCTATGTTTTCCTCCTTTCATCCAGTGAGTGATAATTTTTTTTCCCCCAACTGCCAGTTGGCTAAAAAAGTGTCGAAGTTTAATCATCACTGCTTTTTTTCTCTTGCAATTTGCTGTTTAGTGAAATCTAATAAGTAGGTCACAATTTCCTCTTGCATTTTACTTTTTTTTTGTCACTACTACTTTAAGAATGGGTGCCTACCTTATATGTGGGTTGCATGACCCATAGTTTTCCTGCCTTGACTACATGTGGACTAGAATATTAGCATTGATAAAGTTGATTTGACTACCTATCTCAAGCTTCTGGATAAGATCAGCTAATTAGGCCCCTATACTACCGTTCTTCCTATTTGCCTGCTGAGTACTTCCATGACAATCAGGGGAGACTGGTCAAGAAGCTCTGGAGCAATCTGCTGGAGTATCATAAGCCATGTTTTGAGTATCTTACTGTGGTACTGCATCCTCAACTTCCCACATATCCCCATTTTTTGGTAATGAGTAAAAAGGGGAGTGGACTTGTAGATTTTCAGCCTCCAGTATTCTGGCTTGCTTTATTCTCTCTCCCTTTTTCATGAAATTACCAATTGGTACTTTTCTTAGATGCTTTGTTATGTAGTCCTAACTGTCCAATGGCATGGTTGAAACATCTGATAAGAGCTTTGGCTCTATTATTGATAGTTTTTCAAAACTTCTTTTGAGCTCTTTTTAATGTTCTATTCTGCCTCGATACTTTTTGGTGCAAATTAGAGGTGGCAAAATGGGTGGGATTTGCTTGGATATGAAATGGAACCGAGTCATATAGGTTTGGATCCAACTTTACCCATATGTGCTTTGGGACTAACTTGGGCGGGATCACTTTAGGAGTCATATAGGTTTGGATCCAACTTTACCCATATGTGCTTTGCGACTAACTTGGGCGGGATCACTTTAGGATGGGTTTAGATTGATCCCGTCCAATATTCAAATCTATTTTCTACATATTTTTTTTCTTTAATTCATTTTTTATTTTTTTTTAAATTGATAACAGGATTGCATATAGAAATCTACGTAGATAGTTCAACAATCCAATAATATACATCAGTTAAGGAATTAAGTTGCATGTTCAAAAGGTAGTTCAAGAAAAAAAGTTCACATCATATGTCACGGTGTTACAGGCATTTGTAGTTGTCACCTCCTTAAGTCCTTTGGCACTACTTTGACATAGGTAACCCCAACAGGCGTTCCTAACTCGTTCTCCATATATACCATAATCTTGGCTCTCTACAAACACCTAGTTGAGAAGTTCAAGTTAATAGTATCAAATAAGCACATGTTGATGATGAAAAGATAGAGATCATGACCAGAAATCTTAAACCTGATATGCCAAGAGGTTTGAATCCATAATTCAGACACAATGAAATCCGTGCAGAATGCACACAAATCCTGCATGTAAAATATCAAGGGTTACTATGGCATGCAAGGGAAGTGGAAAAGTCACCAGGAAGAGGTGCACATGCGTCCATAAGAGCCAGTAAACATGCTAACAGTTTGACAGATACAAGATTAACTTTCAGGTTATCCAAAACTCATGTTGTGTAGAGAGAGAGAAATAATTTGATCTGACAGTCAGATCAGAACCAAATACCAGAAAATCCAATCTCATTTTACTTGATTAACATTGACTTATGACAGCATAATTCAGTACACCCACCGGAAGACTGCTAAAGATAATCACAGGTTTACATGGAGATAAGCCAAGAAACATGCAACAAATTCGAGAAAGGGAAAGACAAGGAACTCAGCTGGATTGGTAAAAATGACCATTGGTATTATGAATAATACAAGTGAATTTGGTAACATGTACCACATACAGTTTCTATGGATCTTATCAATGTAGTAAATTTGCTAAGCTCACTTACTAGAAAGCAGAACATAAGCATTATTTAATGCTTAAAACCAAAGCACAGCTCCAGAGATGACCCCAGACATCTTGTCTCCAGAGATTATGGATGCTTACAGCTAAAAAAAGTCTCTCAATAAGAGGTAAACACAAAGCAAACTGTCATGATTTAGTTGAAAAAACTGATGCGCAATGCAAAACTAAAAGAGGATCAGAACATGCAATATAAACTTCTGAGATTACAAACTATCATGTTGTACCTTATACTTCACTACCAAGTTTAGCCACCAATCTTTGAACATCAACACTCATTTCTGCATCCTCTTCTACCTTAGAAGCATCATAGCCTGCCATTATTTAAAAAGAACCAAAATTAATAGAAAAGAAAATAAACATATTTGACATTTAAAATTTCAAATCAATATTTACCTTCACCACCATAAATCCAGTCCCGAGAACATAGCAATGCTTCAACATTGCTTGGCAAAAGTCCATTTTGAAACTTTCCAAGGATTTCTTCAGATGAACATACAGCGGAGTTTGACGTGCTTGATGAGAAAATGGTTCAGATGACTCCTACAGATTTCTGTTTTGTGGTCAAATGGGTCCGGCAGACCAGTTGGCCGAGGTCTACGAATGGGTGAATCTTCGCCATTGGTACTCCCCTAATCCCTGCATGCTTGCCACCGTGCTCGGCGTGCTTGGTAAGGCCAACCAGGAAGCGCTGGCCATCGAGATTTTCACTCGGGCGGAGCCTGGGGTTTCAATACTCTGATCAATGCACGTTTTTGGGAAGATATTTGGGCCCAACGGGTACCCAATTATTTTTCAGCATTTTCCATCAATTAATAGGTACAATTGGGATGTGTTCCATGTTAGACCCAATATCAAATTGTAATATCCATTCCGCCCAAAATTCCTTTGGGCATAGGTAGCCCAATGGGATTTGGGACAAATTGCCACCTCTAGTGCAAATGAATGTCATCCAAGAATCCTGCTTCTGCTCCTGATTGTCATTGAATGTTGCAATCCATTACTGAAATTTACCTTTATTCCATAGAAATTCTACAAATTTAAGGTTTACTCAGTAGAGTTTCTATCCTGTAGGCTCTTGCCCTGCTCTGGAAATTGTCCTTTTATTTATTTACTATTTATTTTTCGGATTGTCCTTAAAGAGTTTCTAGTATATTTATGCTAAATATCCCATAATTTGGAAGCTGCCTCAGAAGTTGCCTCAGAATATGATTACCTTTTGTTTCAACACAGCTGGCCTCAAACTCCTCTGAAGTTTCCCTGTTTGGTTAACCTTTTCTTGCATTTCTCTTCCCCCTTTGATTCTTTTTCCAAACTTTCTTTCCGAAGCATTTAGTATGAAGGCTGAAAAATAGAGATGCAGGTTTGAACTTTTCTGATAAGGTCATTGGTTACATGGTATGGTGAATGGAATTATCAATCTATCTTGTATTCATTTGGCTACTACCATAAATAGCTGTCAGAATGTTGAGGAAAGAATACTTTTTTACTTTTTGGATAAATGTATCTGCAATTGACTTTTTACTTGATTTGTTGCATTACGTTTATATGATCTGGTAGTGCATTGGTATTTTATTGGCAAAAGCTGAGGTGAATTTGGTAAAGCATTTCAAGTCGGTTGCATGCCTGTGTCCATTAACTTGGATTGACCACCATATGGAGTTTATACTGCTTTCTTTTTTTGGGTATTTTTTTTCTAGGTTATGTGAACATGATGTGTAATATTTTGTGATATGGACCATGTGTAAGTGGTAATTTGTAATGGTCTCTAATGTTTCAAGTGCTCATTCTATTGGAGCAAATGACCCAGTTAGGTAAATCATTCTATGCTGTGTCTAACTGCATGCTGCTGCTAGCTGCTGCTAGCTGCTAGCTGCTGCTAGCTGCTAGCTGCTTATTGTTTCTTTTCCATGATACATTTTGAATTATGCTTGATGTTCCTCGTTTGAATATGGAGTCATATGAGGATGTGCCACCTCCAGGGAGACACTATTGATCCAGCTTGTGAAGCATCTAACAATGTCTAAGGAGTGAATTTAAGCTGTCTGTCTGTCTGTCTGCGGGACTGCTTTCTATTACAATGACAATTAACTTTCTTTGTTTGAACTTTGGTGATGGGGGTGGTAACGTGGATATATTTAATTTTGAACTTTTGTTATCGGGACAGTATTGTGGATTGACTAGTTTTGAACTGTTTTTGTGCGTAATGAAAGATTATCATCTGATGCTTTTTCTATCACTTGGTTTAAATTTCATGGTACTTGCAACTGGATTTGTGTAACTTTGGTGGATGATGAGAGCTGTTATGCTGATACGATAGACTTTTTGAAACCTGCTTGCGTACCCCATAATTGTCTGCTCTGTGGGGTGGGGTGTTGTTTGTTTGTGTGTTTTTTTTTGTGGGGGTTGGGGGGGGGAGGGGTTGGTGGTGGTGTTGTTGTGTGGTTCAGTACTAGAGTTCACATCTCTGTCTATTATTTGTTAAATATGGGACCATGGTACTAAAAGCGTCTCGTTAGCCCCTAAAAATAGTTGAGGCATGGAGGAGTAGACGGTGAGACTCCATTGCATAACTGGAGCCGAAAGCACGAAAACAGTGCCTTCTTTCATGCCAATGTAGCAACTAGGAGGGAAAAGAAATCACATAGCTTCGCTTCAAAACGGGGATGGGAATTGGTGCAGTTCATGGGAAATTGCTGGCTATATCAGGAACATCTTCACCACAACTCATCCGGGTGTCACAGTAGAGATTCTAGATGGAAATCTGGAATCCAACTTTTCAATGCATCCATCCAAATTTCCTTATCCAGATGGCTTGTGACCTTTATTTTATTAAAAGAAAATCCATTATTGCCTAGAGTTTTGGATTCGTATCGAAAAAGTGGGTAAAGGGGTTGGGGGTGGGTTTAGGTTTGGGTTTGAGTAGTGAAGAGGTGATTTTTGGCTGCTCGGGTGTTACCTCACCGGCTGGAGTGTCCACGGGTGAGAAATGTAACTCCTCAAAAGTCACATGCTTAAGCTGCAAAAAATGCAGGGCTAGATCCCCTAATTCTCCTCCGACACTCTAATTAGTTATTTTTGGAGGTCAAAGTAAAGTTATTTCGTAAGATAAAAGAGTCTTACCCTTTTCTGAGGGATCTTAGAAGTATTTACATGAGAGGGAAAGAGGATTGAGAGGGTCCCATTCCCTAGGAACTGTCACGCCCAGACTGTCAGCTTTACTTGACAGATTGGCGGCGGCAGTAGGTCCCATCAATCGCTCCGAACCCTGGCAGGCGTCAGACTGTACCTGAACCTGACCATCCCATCATCTAACAGGGGAGCATGGTCAAGGACATATCCATGACCCCGGCCCTTGGTGGAAATCCTGCCGAGGTGAGCTCATCCGGGGTCCAACACGTCTAGAAGTTCGGTCCCTTCAGCGGTCTTCAACAGTAGTCAAATTGAGGTGTGCGTATTTACGACGAACCGAAACGGCCCTCCTCACTAAGCTCCCTGAGCCTCGGGAAAGGCTAAATGGGCGGTATTTCCCGGGGCTTCCGTTCGGATACAGGGGGTCACCACTGTGTCAGGATAGATTTAGAGTGAGATGTGAAATGGTGACAGGATGGGTGTCAGTTTTAAATAACAACATGAAAGGACGCGTGAGGGAAGACCAAAGGATTGGTAGACATAAATGAGGAGAGAGGTTGTCAGCCTGGAAAACCTAACCGCTCCCATCTTTTCGTCTTCCCTCTTCTTCGGTATAAATAGGAGGTTCCTATCAACATTTACATTTTACCGCAAACATTCCAAGGATACCATAAAACAGCACTAGAGTAGATATCCGAAGTGAGCGTGAATTCTCCGGATCGATAGTCTCTACAGATTTCATCATTTCTTGACCAGTAAGTTCACTTCATCCTTTCCCTTATCAATATGGCTAGGGTAGCTAGGGCGCATAAAGAGACAGTGAGGCCAGACTTCAACGCAGCAGAGAGGCCTGACCCGGCCGGAGAAGAGGAGAACTCGTCTTCTAACCCGGAGGAGGCAGCCGAGGAAATCGGCGGGGATGCGCCATCCCAAGATCCGAGCAAGGCGGACTTCGAGATGGTGTATGATGACGCCCTCGGGGTCGAGGTACCAAGGGACGAAGGGGTGCTGGAGCCGGCCGCACCTCCGGACCTGTCAACAGTAGATTTCAGCCAACTTCCTCAGAACCACAGCGTGGTCACTCTCCAAGAGACTAACGAGGTGATACGCCGATATCCCTTCCACCCTCGTTACAACATTTATCCACCTCGGGGGCACCAAACAGCCGAGCAGCCCCCAAAAGAGAGTAGCTGTCTATGTTGATCAGCTGGAAGCCGGGCTAAGGATGCCCACGACGAGGTTTTTTCGGGATATCCTAAGGTACTGGGGCGTTCGGGTCACTCAGTTAACCCTAAATACAGTTCGGATCCTCATTGGGTTCGAACCACTCTATCGAGACCAGGGGATAGCCCCCACAGTGACTCTCTTCCGCCGCTATTACACGATCAAGAACAGCGATAAAAAAGGTTGGTTTTATTTCGGCAACCGAAACAAGCACGTGCCGAATCTAGTGGTAGACGCTCCTTGTTCCATAAAAGAATGGAAGCATAACTTCATTTTTGTTCCCGCTAATGACTTTCCGAGGGGATTTTGGTGGAGACCGCCCACTTCAGCTAAGGATCCTTCTCCAGGTCGCCATGAAAAGGAGAATTTTTGAAAACTCCTCGGGTCGGGTCTCAAGATCAACTGCTGGGCCTACCTGAAGTGATCCTGGTTGAAGGCGGGATCAGCCGAGCTCTGATCAGCCCGGATCATCCCCCTTACTTCTCTACTAGACTTCAAAAATATCGTACTTCTCGCCTCATATCTTTGTATTTCTTCTTACTTTGATTCTAAATAGTAATATTTTCATCTTATGCAGTGGTGAGAGTATCTGACCTGATCACCGCGGGCACTGCCGAAGTCGCGAAGAAGCAGCAAAAGAGGAAAGCTGCTGGGGAAACCTCGGCCGCCCAGAAGAAGAAAACGGCCACCCCATCTCGTCCTCCCCCCATAGTCATTCCAGAGGGCTCCCAGGGTTCTACGATTCCAAAAAGAGTGCCTGTCCGGGGTGTAACTATCGCGGCTCGTCTCCCTACAGGTCGGGGCAAGCAGGTTCAAGTGCCTGCTCCCGAGATGCCGATTATGGGATCATTCCTATGGAACCGGTATTTCATCCAGCTTCAGGAGGCCGGGGACGACAAGAGGCATTCCGGCTGGCATTGGTGCCCAGAGTGGGACGTCAGCGTCAATGATCGATGCCTGGATCCCAGCGTCGTCTAACACCTGCTAGTCCACTCTAGCTTGCCAAGGAATAACTCTTACGCCAAAAAAGTTAACCCCCACCGAGTTGATGCAAAGCACCTCGGTAGCGTGGGTTTCGACCTCGGCCTTCCTGTCTTAGTTGATGCAGCGTTACACTAATATGCTCGAGAATCAGGCCCTTGCTGAGCTACAGGACAGGATTTACGCCCTGGAGCTGAAACTGAAGTCGACCGAGGAGGAGAGGAAGCTGGCTAAGAAGGAGAAGACACAGCTCCGCAAGGAGCGCTTGGCCGAGATGGAACAGTCCGAGGCCACTGTTAACTCTCTGAAGTCCGCTTTAGAAGATGAGAAGAAGAGGCGACTTCAGGAGGAGCAGTCATCTCCGGCTGTAATCGACAAGGCGGGAAGTTCGGCAGTGGAAGCCTTCCGTTCCTCCGAGGCTTTTACCCATGACCTCGGTCAACTCACCCTACCCAACTATATGTTCGGCTACACCACAGCCATCAAAGAGGTCGCTCCCTTCCTCACTGCAGAACAAGTGGACTTGTTCAAAGATAAGGCGAGTTACAATGAGGACACTCAAGTGCTCTGCGATCGCATGGCCGAAGGAACCTGGCCGAAGTGCGGGAAGAGTTCAACCGCGAGATGGCGGAGTTTGACCCCGGACCCGAGGGCGGCGAAGAAGACGGTGGAGCAGCCATGGGAGGAGCCGGGGAATGCTACGGGCCAGGATTCTGCCGAGGCAAGAGACCCTTAGCAAGGCTCTAAGCCTCGGCCTTTTGTACTTGCAACTTTTGTACCCATCCTTAATATTAATATAAATTCCCATTTTCTATTGCTTTCGGCTTCTAATATCTTGCTTCTTTATTCGCTTACTACTTGTTTGACTTGTTTGTCCCATTATTTTCTTTAACAACACCATGTGATAGTGCTAAGAAAATAACTAAGTACGCAGAATAGGCGTAAGTAACTTCAAATAAGACGCAAGTATCATGGAAAATACAATTTGAGATTCTGGGCATGCCAGGTCCTAGGTACTAAGGCACCACCTCGGTAGGCCAACTTACAATATTCATTTTGGCTAACTTCGACCACGCGGTACGGCCCCTCCCAGTTCGGAGATAGCTTGCCCTAGGGCTCAACTCGGCTGACCGAGTTCTTTCGGAGAACGAGGTCATCCGGGCTGAATCGAAGATTTTTCACACGGGAATTATAATAGCTAGTTAGGATATTCTTGTACAAGGCCATCCGGGTTGCCGCAACATCTCTTTTTTCCTCAGAAAGGTCGAGGTCAGTCCTTCATTCTTCTTCATTAGCCTTGGCGGCGAAGGCCGCAATTCTAGGGCTCGAGATAAGGAATTTGGCAGGGACCACTGCTTCGGACCCATATGTTAACGAGAACGGGGTCTCCTGAGTGGCCGTTCTAGGTGTGGTTCGATAAGACCAGAGTACACTAGGGAGCTCGTCTAGGCAGGAGGTTCCGAGCTGGTCTAACCTTATCTTGAGACCGTGTAAAAGTGTTCGGTTGAACTTCTCGGCTTGTCCGTTGGCTTGAGGATGTCCAACCGAAGTGAAATACTGTTTAATTCTAAGTTCCTCGCACCACGCTTTGAAGAGATTATCTGCAAATTGTTTCCCATTATCGGAGATGACGATCCGAGGTAACTCGAAGCGACAGACTACGTGCTTCCAGAAGAACTTCTGGATAGCTTGGCCCGTGATGCTTATTAAAGCCTCGGCTTCAACCCACTTCGTAAAATAGTCCACCGCTACTACGACATAAGTGTAGCCACCTGGAGCCCTTGGAAAGGGTCCAATAATATATGTCCCCCACTGTTCGAAAGGCCACGACGACGTGATGGGGACCATGAAGTTGTTTGGCTGATGATGTTTGGGAGCGTAGTGCTGACATGAGGGGCAGTTCAGGACTAATGCCTGGGCATCTTGCCAAATGGTTGGCCAAAAATAGCCAAGTAATAAGGCCTTCTTGGCCAACATTCGTTGGCCGACATGCTCCCCGCAAAGTCCTTCATGGATTTCCCAGAGGATGTTTTTACCCTCTTCAACTGTGATACACCGTAGCCACGGGGCGAGGTAAGAACGTTTGTACAGGTTGCCACATCGGAGTGCGTATCTAGCCGCTTTACGTTGAATTTTCTTCACCTCAGCCTTATCGTCTGGAAGAATTTCTCGTTCCAAAAAGCTAATGAAAGGACTCATCCAGGTATTTTTCGAGATCACTGGGTAGACCTTCTCCTCGAGGTACCCCGGTTCAGACAGAACCTTCACGTGAATCGTCTTATTGAGAGTGGAGGCGAGTTTTGATAAGGCATCAGCTCGCCTATTCTTTGACCGGGGTATCCTTTGAATGTCGAACGACCCGAAATAGGCTGCCAGCTGCTGAACTTTAGAAAGGTACCGCTGCATATTTTCTTCTCTAGCTTCATACTCTCCCAGTACCTGGCATACTATGAGTTGGGAGTCATTATAAACTGAGATTTGGTTGGCACCAAGTTTTCGGGCCAACTGCAATCCCGCGATGAGCGCTTCATACTTAGATTCATTGTTTGATGCGGCAAAATCGAACCGAAGTGCGTAAGAGCATGTCTCTCTGTGAGGGTCTTCGAGAAGCAGACCAGCTCCACTACCATCACTAGTGGAGGATCCATCCACATATAAGGTCTACCTTTGGAACCCGACTTCAGTCACAATGGCGTCTTGGCTCACAGGAAAGGTGAACTCGGTCAAGAAGTCCGCCAACGCCTGGGCCTTGATAGCAATCCGAGGCTTATAGGCTATGTCGTACTTTCCTAGTTCAATAGTCCACTTAGTGAGCTGTCCGGACGCCTCGGGGCGTGACAGAATCTGCCTAACTGGCTGATCAGTCCGCCGACTTACAGGGTGAGCTAGGTAGTAAGGCTTTAGTTTGCGGGCCGCGTGGACTAACCCCAACACGAATTTTTCTGCTCGGGTGTACCGGGTCTCAGAACCACGGAGAACTCGACTAACGTAATAAATGGGTACCTGAATCCCATCGTCCCGAATTAGAACGACGCTGACAGTCTCGTCCTCGACCGAAAAGTAAAGGTATAAGATCTCCCCAGGACGAGGTGACGTTCTTTCACCTCTTTGAAAGCCTGCTGGCATTCTGTAGTCCAAGTAAACTTATCAGCTTTCTTGAGTATCTTGACAAAGGGCAATGCCTTGGCCGCGGACTGCGACAAGAATCGATTCAAGGCGACCAAACGTCTGGTCAAAATTTACACTTCGCGAAGGGTCTGCGGTGAAGACGTTTCTTGAATGACCTTCACCTTGTCAGGGTTCACCTCTATACCGCGCCGAGACACTAGGTACCCCAAGAATTTGTCCGAGGTCACACCGAATACGCACTTCTTGAAATTCAACATCATCCGAGTGCTTCGGAGGACCTCGAGGACCTCCTTCACATCAGACAGGAATGCCAAGGTCTCCTTGCTCTTGAGGAGCACGTCGTCAACGTACGCCTCGACATTCCGACCTATCTGAGTTTTGAAGACTCGGTTGATAAGCCGTTGATAAGTGGCCTCGGCGTTCTTCAACCCGAAGGGCATTGTCGTGTAACAGTAGACCCTCTGATCTGTGAAGAAAGCTATTTTTCTTGGTTCTCCTCACTCATGCCTATTTGATGATAGCCTTTGAAGGCATCCAAGTAGCAGAGAACATCATATCCCATCGCCAAGTCGACCAGTGTATCGATCCTAGGCCGGGTAACAGTCTTTCGGACAAGCTTTATTCAGATCGGTGAAGTCCACACACATCTTCCATCCCCCGGTGTCCTTCTCGACCATTACTGGATTGGACAACCAAGTGGGATATTAGACTTCCTTGATCATCTGTGCTGGCATGAGCTTATCCACCTCTTCCGTTACAGCTTTGCTGCGTTCCGGATCGAAGTGTTTTCTCTTCTGTCTTACTGGCCGAGCTCTAGGGTCAACGTTCAACTCGTGCAACATAAGTTGGGGAGGAACCCCGACCACTTGCTCGGCGATCTAGGCAAAGACGTCCTGGTACTCCCTAAGGAGTTCGATCAACCCGCCTTTGACCGGCTCGGGCAAGTTTGTGCCGATACGGACGGTTTGATCGTGGTTAGTAAGAGTCAATATAATATCTTCGACCTCGTCTCCATTATCCAGCCTTTAAGACTTCACAGATTTGTGATGATCGATGCAGTCTATCGACATAATGCTAGACCTCCTGCTTTCGGTCCATGGCTCGGACGTCGACGAAGACGCAGCCTGCAAGGTTGCAAGGTAACACTCTCGTGCGGCACAAACATTGCTGCTCATCTCAGTGATTCCCGCGAGGGTTGGAAACTTGAAACTTAAGTATTACGTTGAGTATACAACTCGCAAAGCGTTCAAGGTGGGCCGACCCATAAGCAGATTGTAGGGGGAATCGGCCCTGGCCACCACGAAATTAACTGGGATGGTTCGGTACCGAGGTTGATGGCCAACAGTCACCGTTAGCGTGACCATTCCCTCGGGATGGACAACGTGTCTCCCAAAGCCCACAAGAGGTGTCCTGACTGGGCTGAGCTGCTCTCTTGTCAGTTTCAGATTTTCGAACGTCCGATAGTACATGACATCTACTGAGTTTCCTGGATCCACGTACACTTTTTTGATGATGTAACTGTTGGTGAGTACCTCGATCACCAAGGCCTCATGGCTGCTGGACGCGGCCGGAACAGGATCACTTGGGCCATACGTGATCATTTCAGATAGCCGAGAACTCGGCTCAGTTATGTCCGGGTTGGCCTGTTTGTAGGTTCTCTTCCGGGAGTTTTGACTGTCCCCTCCCGTCGGACCACCGGCTATGATGTTAATAACTCTAGCGATGTTGGACCCATATCCGGACTCATGACCTGTGCCATAATTGGCCCATAACTGGGGGACCCATCTCGGGGGGGTCTCCTAGCATCCTTGGGATCCTCCGGGGGTCGGCAACTACTTCTTCCACCTCGCCTATCATTTCGGCGTTGGTCGCCGCAACTTTCCAGAAGAGATTCGCTCTTATTGTAACTCGCATCTCGTCGGACGAATTGTTTGAGGTAACCCTGCTTAATGAGACGTTTTATCTCCTTCTTGAGGTCATTGCAGTCCTCTGTCTCATGCCCGACATCTCGGTGGTATAGGCAGTACAGGTTAGGGTTTCTCCTCTTTTTTTTCCGTTCATCTTGGGAAGGGCTCACCCAAGTCCGTTTTGGTCCATCACAGATAGCACACGGGATCGGTTGGTGTTCAGGGAAGTTAACTCGGCTTCCGAGACCGGCTGCTTCCCCTTGGCTATTCTGTCGAAAACGCTCCGGCGGTCTCGGCCGGGGCTATGGAAACCACTGCTGTTTCCGACCTCACTCCGATTTGACTCCCTCCGCCTGGGATCAGATCTTGGCCGGACTGCTTGGGCCTCCTTCTTCATACGATCGAGGTCTTCGGCTTGTATGCCTTTTTCGACCTTCAACCAGGGATCTTGGAGTGTGCGAGGATACTTCTTATGTATCGCGGTGTGGAACGTTTCGAGCACAAACCCGTTAGTAAAGGTAGCTATCGTTACCTGCTCGTTGGGGTCGGGTATCTGCACGCTCTCGTTTTGAAATCTCTGCACATAAGACCTAAGTGACTCGCCCGGGTTCTGCTGTATATTCAACAGATACGCCGAGGTCTTAGTCGTAGGTCTAGAGGATACAAAACGATAAAGGAATTTTTCCACCAGTTCCCCCAAGATGGATATGCTCCTAGGCTCTAGGCCTCAAACCATTTTCGAGCTGTTCCTTGCAAAAACACTGGGAAAGTCCGACAGATAACAGGGTCAGGGATACAGTATAATCGGAATGCCGAGATGAACGCATGAATATAGTCTTCCGGATCACCTCGGCAATCGTAGGATGCTATCGTGGGGAGTTTGAAATTTGATGGAAACCTCTCTTCGTTGATCTCGTCTGTGAAGGGCGGAGCTCTCATGTAATCTATTCCGGACCTTCCCAGGAGCCGAGGTTCTTCGTCAGCTCTCCTTCCCAACAAACCTCGCGAAAAAGCCTTGGATAAAGAAGCAATTTTGGAAGTAGCCTTAAACATGGCTCGCTTCGGAGTGCTCCTGGCCAAGTGTCTTCCATCAGATTCCTCATCAGATAGAGGCTCGGGAGACTCGTCTGATTTCCTTTTGAAGGACTCGATCTTTTGTTTGTCTTGTCTCTTAAAATACCTCCCTAACTCCTCAAAGACGTTGGGGTTTTCTGCCACAAACTCGGCCATCTTGGTCATGGCTTCTCCGTTTGCAGGCTGGGGCTCTGGGGACCCCTGTCCCTCAGCCATATCTTCTTCCTGGAAGGAAGGGCTCGGCTGAGCCCCAATTGTGAGAACCTTCCTACTCCTAGAACGCGTGGGCTTCATTCTGAGATGCCTTCGTTCCTACAGACGGCGCAATTAAAAAGTCTTAATAAATGGATTACTGATAAACCTGATTTAAGTAGTTAAAAAAACTCGATTTACGACTAAAAATATATGCAAAGAAGACTGAAACGGATGCACCACCAATACATAACACGTTGACAAAAAAAAATATCAAAAATTATTACATCCAAAGTTGACGTTGGAAAAGAACATTTCTTTTATTGATTCATCCTGCTTTTAAGATGGTGAAGGAAATCGAAGAAAAGCAACAAAAAGATTATAAGAATTAATTGGAAAAGTGAGCAAAATTAAAAAGAACTGAGAATTAGCAAGGATCATTTCAAGAGGAAGAAAAATGTGGTCCAAGTGCTTGTGAGAGAGAAAAAAAAAGAATATCATACTTGCACGTTATGCTATAGAGGTAAGTGTGTAGCTAAAAATTTGAACATGTCAAGCAGAAAATATGCAAGAAAACTCAATGCTTATGTCCAAATTGTAGGAGCCGAAATTTGGTGAATGAGAGGAGATATACACCCAATAAATATCATGCCATAATTAAATCCAAAGTAGGAAAAAAGGGTAAAGTATCAATATTCATCCAATTTAGATGCAAACACTTCAGCTTAATGAAAGCCTAATTTCTTCACCCTTGTGAAGACAAGAATATGAATTACCAAAATACAAAATTAATAGGATCGATAGTGGACATATATGGTAAGCTATTATATTATGAACTAATGAGGATTAATTGAGAAATTGCAGGTAACTACATATATCTATGCATTAATATGGTATATACCACGAAAAGAGCAGTTCAAACAAAATTTTAAATTAGGAAAGCAAAGGAGAAGTTGAATAAATTGAGAGTTTTTTAAATAAAGATTTTAAAATAACGATGATGTAGATATGGCTTGAACTCTGTGTATTTGGATTTGCTGTTTTTACGGCATTTTTGAAATATTTTATTTTGGCAATGTATATGAAAAATTTTGTGATATTTTTGGTAGTGTTTTTGGAGGCATTTTTGGAACAAATTCTGGGATATTTTTAATATTTAAAAAAATTTTAGGATATTTTTTGAAATTTAATACCACCACCCACAACTAACCTACCACCCAGCACCGCCACCACCCTCTTTCTCTTCCCCTTCCCTCATCGTTCTTCCTCCTCCCCTTCTCTTTCCTCTTCCTCTCCTTCCTCCTCCTCCCATCTTCCTTCTTCCTTCATTCCTCGTCCCCTCTCTTTCCCAACCACCCCCACCCCTCCCCTCCCTTTCAAATCGAGGCCATATCTGGGAGGGGGAAGGGAAGGGTGGGGGTGGTAGGAAAAGGAAGAGGGTGGTGATGATAGGTGGAAGAAGAAGATGTTGTAGAATTTAATTTTTTTGATATATTTGTAAGTTGTTTTTGATATATTGTGTGGATGGAGTTTTTTTGGAGTTGTTTTTATTTGTGTATTATTATATTGTATTTGAATTTTTTTTTTAAAATAAAAAATCCAAATGGTATTAATTAAGGATTTCACAAACCTCACCTGTGGTTTGCCCTAATAGCATTAGCATATTTGAGGTTTTGGAAATCTTTCTTACTCCCCTTGAATGACATGTGGTGTAACTGTGTTAGTCCCTTTTGCTTTCATTAGAAAATGTATACCACTTAGATCAGAGAAAAACGACATGGGAATGTTCTGTTTCTGCGAAGTTCATGAACTGGCTCATCATTCATTAGCGCCTCAAGCATTGGCATGGGTGTTTTTGTTCTTAATGAATGAAAGTGATGAAAAGATTAAATAATACCCCTTCTTTAATAGAGAAGCAAAACAGGATTAAGCAGAGACTATCGCAACTTTGACAATTAACGGTACTTCCAATGTGTACTGTAATGAAATTTTCTCATATTCATTTCTCAACCTTTTGCCAGCATTAACGGCAAAGTTAAGTTCATGTTTCAGAAGTCCATATTTGCTATACAGTAAAGATACTTGCACATCAATCCCCCGATTTCTTTTGCCAACATCAACTGCAGAGCTAAGTTCATGTTTCAGAAGTCTGTATTTACCACAACACAAAGGTATTTGCACATCAATCCTCCTCCTCCTCTACCCAGAATTTGACATATCGGAGTCTTGGATGAGAAGCAATTTGCAAATTAATACTATCCTGCAACCGTCTGTGCTCATTGTTCTACAAAATTGAAGCAATGTCAGGATAGGAGAAGAATAACGCTGTAAACAAACCAATGACAATGAATAAATAAAGATTTCTAAATATTATGCAAACTCTACAAACGAAGAACAAGTTCATGGAAATGTGAGTATGGAAGTAAGCATGACTGAACATCCATTGGTAATTCTCACATACACTGGAGTCATGCAATCTGCCCTACTGAAGATTTTGGCAAAACTATATTGAATTGAATCCGTCAGCACTCTCTTTAAACCTCATATCCCAACCATAACATGAACTTAAAAGGAAAAAGAGGGCTTCTAAAACCTCTCAAATAACTGTATAATAAAAGTACATTCCATGATGAAGCACCAATGCAATATTCATCCATCCTACACCATACTGTCCTAGAAATGGCCAAGAAAAATTTCATCTGAGAACAGATCCATCTGAAGCCCTTAGCGTAGGCACCGGCCTTTTGTTTGTGGTTGGTGCGGGGATAGGGTGGAAAAAGGACAAAACGCATAAAGGTTTTCACTAGAAGAAGAGTGGTCTACAATTCGAATGAGTGGTCTACGAAACAGAACCAACAATACATTTAACCACCACGAACTGAAAGCTAATCATGCACGCCGAACTTTTTATCAAAGTTCTGTTGTCACTTAATTGTGCTAATCAAAATGAACTCAAGAATGTAGGGCTTAAAGGGAATAAGCAGAACTGAAATTGAGCGAACATTTTAAACTAATTTTCTCTTGCATCCACAATAAGATCACATTAGTTACTCTTAAATGGTTATGTACTCGATCGATAGCCAACGACGAGTCAAAGAACTGCAAATAAATGTGCGCAAAATTGAAGGCAGGATAAGTAATCAAAGACACAAGTAATAGCTAAATTCCGACCACCAATAAGGTAATATAAATGATAATGATTGTATGCGAATGGTCGGCATGACCCATGAGCACATTTGACTGCTTTAAGGAAGAATAAGAATTAATAAAAATTAACTAATTTGAAGTTCAGTTGTTCAAAACTTTTTAATTCGAGAGACCACTTAGTCATTAAGCAACTTTTGCAAATCGAAGTAGGACAGGATTGATGCAAAAAACAAGATTAAACATAGTATACATCATGAGACTTTTACGTACCATCACCCAAGTGTTCAGAAGTTCAAGGAAATGATAACTGTCATTCAAAATTGAATCATTGTCCATGAATCGCAAAAGCCACCGGGGCAAACAGTGTCGATTTACTTGCTTTCCATAGCTGCAAGTTGTCAGTTGTTATCACCAATCAGTAATGCTTTATAAAAGAAGCGACATCCTTCAAACTAAGCAGCAACAGAATTCACTATAACATTTTTATTTAATGTTTGTTAATGTTGTAAAAACTGCTTGGCATGTGATAATGCAGAATCTTCACAGGCAAAAGTAATAATTAAGACCAAGCAACACCCTGATAAGGTTGGAAAAAGGAATAGCCCAAAACTGCTGTCCTAAGAGAGGATCATTACTACTTCAGGTGGCTGGTATAAATTCTAGAACTTGCGTAGTTTGATCATCACTACAAAATCTGCACACTAGATTTCCTGATGTGGGGCCTGCAAGCATTTTAATGTGCGGGGTCAGTAAGCATTTTAATGCTAATTCAGTTTTTAATTCATGTAATCCCAGCTGCAGATTCTGCTGTGGTGTGCAATGTAGACGGGCTGAAGCCATGCTTCTTCAGCCCTTTTACTTCACTATCTTCATTAACAAGACTCTATTGCACTGCACGACTAAACATCTTCTACCTCAATAAATATGAAAATTAGTGCTGAATTATGATTTGCTGTCCTTTAACCACTACTTCCTACTCGAACCCTTCTATCCTTCACCAGATTCTTCTAAGAATCAATCAAGACCATTTAGCCGCATCTTTTCCACTCAATGTGCTTCCCTGCTTCCCTCCAAGAGAGTCCTGAGGAAAGGCAAATCCCACCTCTAACGACAAAATACTAGTTAAACTTGAATTCAAACCACGTCTGAGCAATAGTTTCTTTTTCATCAAAGTTGAAACTGGAAATATATCTAACTAAGGCTTCTATTTAGTATAACAGTAATCCACCCACCCCCAAACCCCTCCCCCCCCCCTCCCCCAAAAAAAATGGGATTCAGATCAAAACCTCCGAAGTTAGTTTGCCACTACTTCCCATTCTTCTATATATATTTGTGATCTGGCCACTAATATGTTACATATGGGCAGAGTTGTCCTTGTACTTAGTCTTCTGAGTGTATCAATTCTAGCATTGGGCAGACAACTCATACTATGCAGGACAAAAGCGCATGCGGTAGCCAAGTAAGTAATTGTATTTTCATGTCTATAGTGTGCTGGAAACGAGGAAATAGGATAGAATCACCACATGTACTGTTTCTGCAACCAGATGGTTGTATTGGCTCGTTCCGTTAGATGCAGAATACAAGTGTTTGCATGGAAATTCTATCCAAACCCTACATACGCAATGTAGGGACCAATAAAAACATCCGGTTTCATACAGAGAGGAGAAGGGACCAATAAAACTATAACCTCAATTAAAATGCACCAACACTAACAAAGTGAACTTGCTACCAAGATTTCAGACAGAAAGAGTAATTGGCACATCATATGTGAACAACGGCTTAAGTTCTTCACAATAACATAGTATTTGACAAAATAACATAAGAACAATAAAAACCATGAAGAAAACAAATGCAAGAGAGGATTTATGACAAACCAAAAATCCGCGAATAGCACAAATGTGTTGTTGGGGAAGCTTCCCATGAGGTGTGTCCCAAGGGAATCTGTAGCACATCTCTGTTCAAATATTTAAAAAAGAAGGTATTCAGTAAAGAAAATAAACTTTTAGAGAACAACATGCATCTTACTCCAAAAAATGAATGAAGGACAGAACAGAAACACTGGAAAAGAAGGCTAGTAGACTTTACAATTGCTAACCACTCCCTATGTCAAATTTTATTCTAAGTGCATGTAAAAACAAAGATTTAGCAGTGCAGTAAAACCATCTAAAAACAAGTTACTAAGTTCACCAGCATGATCCTCTCAAATATTAGATAAAATGGAATAGTTAGTCTCATTTAACTCTCGGTGATTTGAAGATAATATTTCAAAGAAAGATTTGCAGAAAGTGTATTTTTACAATCTGACAAAGAATCGAACTCAACTAAGCACTGCTGCTATTCTATATTTCCTTGAAAGGGGTGCTCAACCTATAGGTGCTGTTCAGGATATTTTTAAAAAGGCATGGGTTTCTAAGGAACTTCTCCCTAATCAAACAAAATTCAGTTGATGAAAGAACCGCAAAAGCCATGGTGGGAGGGGGTGCCGGGGTTGGGGTAAATAAAAATGAATAAAGCATTGGGTCAAACTCTTACTTTGGTGTCAAGAAGCATAATCTTTCCTAGCAACAGCTTCTACGACGATAGGCATATAATGCCACGAATCTCAGATAAGTCATTGAGGTTGCACCTCACAAAGTCAAAGTCAAAAGAAGAAAAAACAGTCGCCTAGCGCATTTCAGGAATGGAATGGACTAATCAAGTTGAATGTTCCAACGTCAAGACATAGATGAGAGTAAAGCAAAACTTGAGACTAAGCTAAGAAATGAGAGTTCAAGATAAGAAGAAATAACTAATCATCTTCTGAAATCAAAAGGGACAAAAATAAATCAAGACTCAATTGAAACTAAAAGGATGACTACACAAAAACACTTCTCAATTTAAAGAAGCACAAAGAACTTACCGTCACTTCAAATCTTAGAGCAGAGTCAAGTTCAACCCCATATCGTGCTCGCCAATGCAAACCTTGGGCCATTGATAATCTTATAGAACCAACATGAAGAATGGATTTCTAATAAGACATCGTTAGGCAGTCAACTATAAACAGCATGTGAAACGGCAATGAATACCATAACAGCAAATAAAGAAGAAACATGGGAATACAAAACTTGAGTAGAGCTAATTGTAATCCCCCTCCTAGAGCACCTGGCTATAAGTTCAATTAGTTAAACTTGAAAGCAGGAATATAAGAAAACATAATTGTACCTTGAAGCTTCCTTCCAAAATGGGAAGCCAATATACATGACTATGGAACCGTAAAGCCCATGAAAATTATAGGCATCATATTCCCTGTCAAATACAGCACATGAACATCAAAAAACCTTCTTCTGTAGGAAAAAAATAAAGGAAACTCGTAAACATAACTACACACATTCAGTGACAAGATCTAACAAACATCAGAAAAGAAACGTTATATATATCCTAAATACAGTCAATTTGTCAACAAAAAGCTCACATCATTGCCCATTCATGGTCATTTATAAAACTATACTGCGGTTGTCAACTCAAACATAAAATCGCCATTGTCAAACCTAAAGCAGTTATTACTCACATATGCCCTAGAACACAAAATTATAATGGAACATAAAGCATAAGGAATCTACTACACTTCACTAACTGCTCAAGGAAATTTATTTCAAATAGTTCAGTAACTCCATTATCCCTTAGATTTATATACCCTTGAGGATAACAATATAATTTTAAAATCCTTGTTTTATTACTTAAGTTGTTAAAGGAAAGCAGATTTCACATCCATGAACAGACAACCTAATCCTAGTATTTAACGAGATTGATTAGGAGACAAAATTGGTCATTCAAAGTTCTATGACACAATCTGGCGTAACAGTCCCTTTGTACCATATAATTAGTTGATCCACAGGAAAGAAGTATACAAGTATTCATGAGTGGCAGAAATTTGTAAACAAAAATAATTAGGAAAATACCTGACAACAGCCAAAAATAGCCCTCCATCACCTTGTTTGCATTTCAGTTGATATGCTTTTGTGTCAATCTCAGTGAGTCTAGCTTTAGTTTCTTGCATGTACACTTTCTTCTTGCACATGATTTTCTAGGTTCAAATTAGAAGTTAATAAAATGTCAAATACAACCCAAGCACTAAATGTACATAAGACTTAAGAAAATTTAATAGATGGAGAGGAAGCATGAATTAGACAGCTTTGCAGCCACCACAATACAGATCACAATACAGATGTACACTGAAGAGGACAAGGGACATAATTATGGCTTATATGAAACTCACTTCTTTCTTTTTCTTTTTTTTTTTTTGGTGGGGAGAGGGTGGGGGTGTGTGGGGAGGCAGGGTTGGAGGAGAAGGACAGGTAAGCATGAAGACCTAACACAAAAGCCTTCACAACTTACTCCTCTTCATTCCACATGGATTTTATATTGCATCTGAAATACTTAAAAAACCTTGGTGCTGCATGTTAATGGCAACATCATCACTACAAGAAACTTGACTATTTGATATAAATACCTGTGGGATGGCTACGACTATGTATAAACAGATAGTGCTTAAGCAGAAATGCTAATCCATCCCAGAAAGTATAAATTAGTGGTTCCATGTAGACAGTAGTTTGCTGCCATAAAGATAGCCATACAAGATACTTGACTAACCTGCTGACAAGTTAAAGTACTGTTACCAGCCAATATCATAGATTTATTAAAAAGGAAAGAGTACCAATCACTTCAGACATATAAAAGACCACCAAATAATATCTTGGCTTTCACACCCCAAATTTGAAAATAAGCATGAGAACACTCTTCTCCCAACTCTTCCATATCTCAACTCAAAAATCCCAAACTGTGATTTGTGTGAAGAGTCTTTAAGTACAGATATATTAGGCATCTGAAGATCAACAAAGAAATAGACAGAAACTTTATTTCAACCATCCACAGCAGAAAGTATAAAGGCCTGAGCATCTCTGCTCAGAAATAGCCAGTGTTAACCACAACCAGTATCCACTCTCACAATTAAATGTACTACACAAACATGCAAAATTGCTCCTTGCTAAAATTTAATGAACTTTTCCCCTGTCCTGTTCTACCTACCACAATCCCCTTCTTTGATCTTTTATTCTTGTTTCATTAACCTTGACAGCTTAAACTCTTGCCTGTAGATGGGTTATCGTGCCTGTACATAAATTGGTGACATTGTCTAGACTTAAAGACATGACTAAGTGGAATTTGAGCAAGCAGATATGCTGGTAATTTTTTTCATTAGCCTCTTGAATTAGTGGCTAGGCAGATCACAGCAGAAAACACATTGTGATGCTCATCTTTTTTGTAACTCATCGTGTCCTAAGTCATTGTTCCCTCATTTTATATTTTGGAGGCTTTCTTTCTGAATTTTTAGGAAGGTAAGGAAAATGAAAAAAAAAAAGAAGGAAAAAGCACAAACAGAAAGGAAACTTAGAACAACCTGAAGTACCCCACTTTTAGTCCATACATCCACGCATCTCTTCACGGCATCACGACTAGGAAACAGGCATAGCATCCCTTGCGAAATGCTGATTGCAGACATATCTATTAACAAATTTCCATAGTAAGCCATTGTAAGATCGCATCCTTGATAGCCCAAGGGATGATACAACTCCTCTCTAATCCTCCTACCATCCAAGGCTTGCCCCCTACAAAAAAATCAGATTAGGGCCAAGGCATACAGATGCTTTATTAAGTTGTAAATTCAGAGGGATCGTGTTACCGGTAACACGTGAGCACCATGGGAGTAAACGGCACCTCATCTGAATAATGCCAATGGTCCAAAAGATACTCAATTCGTGCATTTCCTCCCAGCAAGATATGGCTGCATACTTCGAGTTCTTCTGAGGCACTAGCTATAACAATGGATCTACTCCTAGCACGGATACGATCCATATATATATCCGGCTCAACTAGATCAAAATGAAATTCATCGCAAGAATTATCAAAAAATAATAAGAAACTGTTCATGTTACAAGCTGCAGTGCCGATAAATCTAGCCAACTGAAACAAATCTCTACGTGAGACTGTAAAATCAATATCCGGATGCTTCCATGACTTCACAACCCATCCTAACAGCAATTTGAGATTATCGGGCTGAATCAGCCCATTAGTAGCCAACCTAGCATTGTAAAGCTCTACGAACCTATCCATGGAGCAACGAGACTGATGAAACAATTTCAGTTCCCCACTATACCTATCCGACAAGCTAAGAAGAAAATCTAGGAAAGCTATAAAAATTTCTTTCCCTGCCACCTCATTGTCCACTCGCCAAGGCAAAAAATGGGGGATAAAAGTCTCCCATTCTCCAGGCAACCTACAGATGAGAAATGATGGGCTTTATTTGTACATATCAAAACTCGAACTTCACAACATGAACAGACTAATTATCAGAACATAACGCTAATTAGAACTAAATAATAACACTACCAATAAGATAGTGATTTATCTTACCCCTCTTCCTGCATTTCAGGCAAAGCTTCCCGGATATCCTCTATATCGGTATCAACCATATGAAGGCCCGACCAACTATTCATCTGTGCATGTAAATCATGGCCCTCCTCAAAAAATACAGTGAACTCTCCCAGTCTCTGGTCACCTAAGAGGTTAAAAACCCTATGCTGAAACATATCATCTCTTCGGCACAGGATCATGTTCGGGGTGAAGCCCTGTCTCAACCTAACAAAACCCTTTATATCATCTGTTAAGGCAAGAATGGAAAATCTTTTCATCCTACCCAACCTACCAATCGGGCATTGCAAGCAGATACTCTTCTTAACATCAACGCAGATTTCCTCTACATCTCCAACTTTAACTTTGTCAGACAAAGCTAATATAATTCTACAGTCGGCAACCTCATGGAGCCTGGACAATGCATGATAGCTCAAGCTAAAACATGCAGCCAACTCAAATACGCGCCTGTTGTTCGGCAACTGGACACACAAGTTGGACCCATTTTCAATCGCATCCCACAGGCAGGTTAAAAACCTCATTTCCGCGAATGAAAGGTCTTCAAAAGCGTGAGGTAGAACAATGACAAGATCCCTTTGATCATTGCCCACGGCCCTTTGTAATTTGAACTCCTTCGTCATTGCTGGACCGAATTCGGTCTGCACTAGTTGTTCCTTCTTTTTTTTTTTTAAGGACTCTTTGGCCTCCGGTGTTACTTGTTCAGTTGGCCCAAATGTGTAGAGCCATGCCAAATTGAAAAGTTCACCGACTCAACTCTTTGATGTTGGGCCAAAGATTAGAAGACCTTCTGGCTATTCAATGTCCATCCGAACCGGAGATTAGAATTTCTGTATAAAATTGGGCCAAAGATTAGAACTTTTGTGTATTGCCATCGGGACCAAAGATCAGACCTTTCATTTTTGCTTCCACCGAATGAAGATCAGACCTTTCATTTTTGTTTCCTAGACCTTTCATTCTAGGATGGGTGACCCCTGAGAAGTCCTTGTATGTCATCCCTTACCCTCACAGTGTTGGTCCAGTGGTAGCAGCGATTAGGGCTGTAATCAAATCGAGCTGCTCGCGAGTTGTAATTGAACGTACACTCGTGAGCAGCTTGATCAAAATTTTGACTTAAACTCGAGTTAATCGAATTCGAGTCCAGTTCGAGCACCTCGATAAGTTAAACAAGTCGAGTTCGAGTATCCAAAAGCAATGTTCGAAAGTTCGTCGAGTCTTATCGAGCTTTTTAATTTTAATTCTTTAATATATTATTATTATAAAATTACCCTTACGCTTAAAAGAGTTGTTGAATTTACGAAATGTTTTAAGTCATATAAAAAAATTTTAAACGGTAACAATGTTTTTTCACTCAAAAATTATCAAGAAAATGAAAATTTCTAACTCGATCTTGATAAGGTTCGCATTGACTCGAATCCATACGAGTCGAGCTAGAGTTTTGTGAGCAAGAATCGAGCTCCAATAATACTACTCGCTCAAGTTCGAGCATCCTTCGAGCTCGACTCAATTCGATTGCACCCCTAGTAACGGTTCTTTAGAACACAAAAGGTCCTAGGATCGAAATTATTCCCTGAAGCATTCTTTGACTCGCACAGAAAAAAGGTTGTGCGGTGTGTCGACTTTAGTTCAAAGGGTTCGGATCGGGTACATTCCATTTACAAAAAAAATGTAGAAGAAGCAGAATTTTTTAAAAATGAGCAGAAATAGAGAAACCCGAGAGAGAGAGAGAGAGAGAGAGAGAGGGGCCTATTTAATGACCATACTAACCAAAGATCAGACCTTTCCTTCTTGGCTTCCACTAGAATGAAATGGTAAAGAAGCAGAATTCCGAAAGAAAAAAAGGCGGGCAGAAATGAGTTACCCAAAATGAAACTTCGCATTCGGCTTAGCTCTGGCGGTAGTTTCCCTGTGGGAATTCTTAAATGAAAGAGCATAATAAGCATGCAGGCCAGAGTTTGTCAGCCTGAAGAAATTTGCAAAATATTTGGTTACATTTCATGGGTCCATTTAAAATAAAAAAAGGCCTGAGGATTTTGATCCTTCTTTGCCACTACTTATTTTGGGCAATGTTTTGAAACTCAAACCGTTAATTAAACCGGCGTGGTGCTCGGATCGAGATTCAATCGATCGGACCGATTTAACACTGATTCAATATTTTTTTTAAATAATTTATATAAATATATATGTTCAAAATAAGACATGCAATGAACTAATTTAAAACTTTATATGATGAAAAGTTTAATATTTTCAAAGAATTTGGATTTTCACAAATAAAAATTTTAAATTATAAGTTGCAACAAATAAATTTTATCTCAGTTTCAATTGTATCTATCAAAAAATAATCTTAAATTCAACCCAAAGATACCAAAATATTCTAAAATTATACCAAATTCACGTCCATGGGAATTAGACACTGTAAGTTTAAATTTTTAATTCACGTTTTTGGGATTTAGAAATTGCAACTTTAAAAATGAAGTTTGGAATTTAGAGGAAGTCAAAAAATAGAAAATAGATATGTAAACTTGATAATAGATAAAAAAAAAATGAGAAGAAAGTGAATGAACGTGGCATTTAATTAATCTTTAGGTTTAAGGAAAACCTATTCTTTTTTCATATAATTTTTTCAATTTAAAAGACAAAAGCAAAAAAATCACCGGTTCAATGATTCAATCTGATTCGCACAAATTTTATGGTTCAAATGGTTCTTATAGGTTTTTAAATCCAGTCAACTCGAGATATGAATCGGATCGGACCTATGATCGGTTTGCAGTCCGGTTCGGTTTTCAAAACAATGATTTTGGGCTGTCCTAAGGGGTGCATGCATTGTTTGTCAAAAGGAACAACTTTTAATGGGGATTTGTAAGGAGATTCTTATTTTCCAGATGCTAAATTTTTTATTCACCTAAAAGAAAAATGTATCATTTTCTTTTTTATTATTAATGTAGAGTAATGTACAATTATTTTTCATAATTTATTGTTTGCTTACAACTTCAGTTTTGATATTTATGGTAATGAAATTGTGGCAAATTGGGAATTTTCATCAGATGTGATGTATGTGAAAACAAATGTTGATCAAAAGATTTTTTTTTCAAAAAAAATGTTGATTAAAGGAATAGAAAAGGATTGAAAAAAATTTATGATACAAGAAAATTGAGTTTCAAATAACTATATGTCTAGATTCACTCAGTATTTCTTTTAGTATGTCATTCTTGAAAAGTTACGCACGAACATTTCTTCACTGGGTAAGTTATTTCTTAAAAGTAGAGGTTGTTTAGAGCACTGCTTGAAGAGTTTTTCATGAGAAATTGCTATAATAATTTTTTAGATTTTGATGTATGTGAAATAAAAAATAATTGAAAAATATGTTAAAAAATTATTCATGGAAAGTGAAAATAATTTTGCTAGTGTCCCGAAGTCTAAAAAACATTAGGGACCTGAGGATACAAACTCATAATCTAAAATTTCCTAGAGAGGACCTTAATCTTAAAAAATATTAGGGACTTGAGTTGAGAATACAACTTATAATCTAAAATTTCCCTTAGAATTGAAGCTTTGCTTACATGCATGTCACTTGTGTCCCGAAGTCTAAACTTGCTAGGAGCTTTGCATTTGGAAATCAAATTTGTCACCTTATGAAAGATATAATCCTAAAAACAAGTTTAAACAAGAAGCACGAGAAAGAAACATGTAAACAAAATTGAAGGGGAAAAAAGTAACCTAGAAAAACAGACAGAGAAAACAAATGAGAGTGAATTAAACCATCTCAATCTGAATTAAATTGCTAATATAACTTAATTCAATCTTGTTTTTAGATTTTTTTTGCCAACAATCCAAAAACTCGACACTACTCGGCTTAGATTTCAATGTAATTTCCTTTTTCTTTTTTCTCTAAAGTGAAAGCTCATTCCAAAATAGAGAAAAAATAAATGTTAGCGGTAATTCATTTTTTTGGAAAATATGTTAAAAAAAAAAAGAAAATACATGGATCATATCATCTAGGAATGTGCAATTTCGAAAAAAATAAATTTACTAACGAATTTTGATTTCAATTCGAAACTACGAAATCGAGAAAATAAAAGTTAAGAGAGTCACCCAAAATGCTTGGCTGTAGATTAGTGGGATTACCAGGTAGGGAGATTACACCAAAAGATATTTGTTTATGTTTATGTGTTTATTTATGTGTGACCTCCTTTTTTTTCTTTCTTTGTTTAGGAAATAAAATAGTTCTTTTATTTTACAGGGCTTACCTGTTATTTTTTAGGTTTAAACAAACACGGTGGGCCTAATAGGGGTGCATGTTGCAATTAATTAATCGTTGTGCAATGATCCAGAGGCAGTAACACACAACAAACGACAAACGAATTGTACAGTAAGCTACTACCATACTAGGGGGGGATCACCGCGCGATGCGCAGTGGGTGAATGTAATGATGCCCAGTAATACCCAGTTGAATAATTAATTTTGTAAAATTAGTTAATTCAAAGAAGAAGTAATGTATTAAGGATTGTGGGCCAGTGGTTGCTTAGTTTAGCTAAGAAGAAGTGAAAACTACCAATAATGTATTCAATCGATAGGTAAATTACACTGCATGGTTCAACTAAATTCATTAAGCATCCAAATAAATATTGAATGTGTGATACCAAGGAAAAATCTTTTCAACTCCGGCATCATCGAAGATCAAAACTGTAAATATATTTTCAGATTTCGGAACAAAGACAAGAGTTTTGTTGTGTTGCAATTGATGTTGAAGAACGAAATCTCTCCAGTTTTGGTGAAGGCATTTATGCTTTACACCAATTTGAGTACTTCTGTGTCCAGTGTTGACAAGTAACATGGGAGTCTTGATACCATTGATGAAGTGATCAATAAAGCGCGGAATTTTCTATCATCAAGAGGTGCAGATTAGAAGATATGCATAAACAAATGGAAATTGCTTGCGAGAAAGTTGAGATGACAAAGAGAATGCAGGTAAACATGGAATAGCTTACCAAACTGTTTGGAGTTGTCGAGTTAAAGATTTGATAAAAGCAAACCGAATCAAATAGATCTTGACAAAAATTTGGTCTCAGCGAGGAAGCAACTTGCTGTTGTCCAGTGGCCATATGGATATCATCTGTAATTAGTGACTATGTGTTACATTAAAAATAATATATGATATAGATGAGGATATGAGATAGATACAGTGGTATTTTGACCTTTTGATGCAATGACATTCATGTGCAACAGGTCTAGTAGGGGAATGGTCCAAGGCAAAAAAACTTGTTTTTGTTGTTCACAAAAGTGAATGACATCAAATATCAAATACCCGCTATGTTGAAGTAATAGCGTGTCATGCCTTTTAACAATGTTGTGTTTACAAAAAGCATCCCATCCTTGTCCAAATGTATGATTAGTGACTGTGATAGGCCATTGCCGCAGTCCAAACCTCAGAATAATTCTATTGCAATGGTGCTGATGAAGTAACGATTCAAACTGAGCAGGTAATACCTTGAAAAAATGAAGTAGGAAAATAACGTCAAAGAATACCATGGTATTCAACTCTAAATGCTGCAATGTGGGTGAACAAGCTAAAAGTTAACCTGTCCTCTGTGGATGCATTTGAGTAGAAAACAGCAAGCTGATA